ATCGGCTAACTTCTTCATAGTACAGTAGGTCTAGAGCATATTAGGTCTAACAATGGTTCTCTCTGCCCAGGTGGATGCAAGTTCAAATCCTGCTGGAGGGTGCATATTTTTCTTTAATAAGGTTTCTCAGATATTCCAGCCAGTAGATGAAAATAAACATGTTGATTAATAAATAAACGAATCATCTACTCAGTTACAAATATCCACTGAAAATAACATTTAAAGTGGTAATATACATACATACATACATACACATGGTGAAGTAATGAATAGAGGCTTGGATTGAGAAATTTGAGAGCCAAGTTTGAATTCCAGTCAAATCCATTGCATTCACTTACTTGCTAATATCCTTGGAAAAAGGTATGAATCCTCTTCTTCTCCCCACCCCAGCAATGGGTAATAGCAGAACGGATCGGATTCTATAGCCTTGGATGGCAATTGGTCTAGGAGAAAGAACAACTTTGAAATCAAAACCTGTGGAGGGTTGTTTGTGGACCCTGTGGCACACCTTGTTCTCTGTATTCAACTCTTCCAAAAAGTGTGGTTGGTTCTGTACAAGCCTTCATCACTATAACAAATGATTTATCTGTGTGTATGTGTGTGTGTGTGTATATATATATATATATATATATATATGGAAAAATATGCAGTAAGGTTGATTCATTTGTATTTGGACTATTGTCCTCATCTTTGTTGGGTTTATTTTATCCGCACATTTTAGCTGTTATGTCGTTCAGCTTGTCAATCTGGGAAACTTCCAAGGAATTTCAAACTGAACTCATTATTTAAACTATGGGGGTAGATTGTTCTTGTTCTGCTGTCTATGTTGATGGAAAACTCATCTTGTTCTTATTTAGTACTACTCAGCTATCATTTAATGGTTTTAGTGGTTCAGGTATTGAACTCACACTTACCATATTACCAAATTCATAAACCAACACTTTTATTCACTAGGATAAAGAAAGCCAGAAAACACAACAGCAGAAACAGTGGGATAATAACAACAAAGATGAAGATAATAGTTCAAATGTAAATAATGGTAATTCCTCAGCCTAGAAAATCAGAAAGAAATGTTCTTTTAATAACTTTTTTTGTTGGCATGAATAACACAAAATATTCCTTCTTACAGCTTTTTATGCCAAAATCTTAGTATCATCTTGTAACTATTGATTAACAGTGATGCCAGAGTACAAATATACAAAACTTAATAATCATGACACCCAGCCTGATAAAGGTGTATACCAAGCACATGCATCACAACCAAATGTGCACAATATGGTGACAGGTTTTGTTGTTAAGTTGGACTCAGCATACTTTGTGCTCTTCCCTACTACTGTGACAATGGACTGCTCCTACTAAATACCACAAGTAGTCACATTAGAGTAGGATTTGGTTTAGTTAAGTATTTCTGTTCTATGTATGAGTATTTAATAAACCTCTTCTTTGTTTCCTTTAATTAGTCTTCTATTCCTTTGATACTCTAACTATGGCCTTCCTAATTCTTGGCTATTTTGAACAAAGACACCATTACAATAGGTTTTGATAAAAGCATTACATAGCCTTGCAGGTTTGGGCCAGTTAGAAATATCTTCAGATTAAGTAACCCAGTGCTTCCAGATGGCCTTTGATTAGGGATCTTAACAAATATAGAAATGTGACTCTCAAGTTGTCTTGTCTGCCTCATTCATCAAACTTATTAAAAAAAAAAAAACCCATCCACCCTCCGTATACCTGGTCATGATACTCTGCACTGTTCTCATTCATGAAAAGAGATTCATAGTTTGTCATCCAGTAGGGACAAGTTTGTTGTTATTGTTTCTTTCTCTTTTGCTACCTTTAAGCTTGCATTGTTTTCTTTCTAGAGGTACATGGTGGCCTTGTGATTACCAGCACAAAACAATAGAAATGAATGTAGTTTGAATTTTGTTTGGGGACTGGTTAATCTGACTTCACCCTTATAGTAGGAAAGGCATAATTTAATTTCTTTCCTATCACCAGATATTTTGACAAAATTTCCTCTTATTAGCATACCATGATAATTGACAGAAAAAGAGAATATATGTGTGTGAGAGAGAGAGAGCACACACACACACACACACACACACACACACAAAAAAAAAACCCATCTCATATAATTATATTAGATGCCCAAGCAGTTGAAAGCAACAAAAAAAGTTGTTGCTTTCACTGCCATCAACTAAGCTTAGTAAATACCAGTAAGGTTGAAAATTTGTGGGCTTGCTTAGTAGGTTAGATAATTGTATTTTTTTTTTTTTTTTTTTGTTCAGTAATGTTAGAGATTCGTATTCAAGCCCAAGTAAAAGTTGGCTTACGAACATATTATGTTGGAAGACCGGTTCTCATTCAATGTCTGAAGTTGAACAACTTTGAGCCTGGTCAGTATTTAGATGGGTGACTGCTTGAGAATACCAGCTGTTGTGTGGGAGGTGTAATGAATAACAGCTCATAATGAGAAACTGCAGAGCTGAGTTTGAATTGGTTCATTGCATTCGCTTACACACAAAAACCTTTAGGAATGGTATTAATCAACCTCTTTTCTTCAAGCTATGGGTTAATGGCCTGTAACTGAAAATCATTATTTTCAAAAAAAATTGTTAACAACAAACTCACTTGCAAAAAAAAATACAACCATATCATGTTGAAAGACCGGTTCTCATTCAATGACTAAAATTGAGCAACTTTGAGCCTGGTCAGTATTTAGATGGGTGACCGCTTGAGAATACCAGGTGTTGTGCGGGAGGTGTAATGAATAACAGCTGGAGAGCTGAGTTTGAATTGGTTCATTGCATTTATTTATACACAAAAACCTTTAGGAATGGTATTAATTAACCTCTTTTCTTCCAGCTATGGGTTAATTAGCAGGCCTGTAACCAAAAATCATTATTTTCAAAAAATTGTTAATAACAAACTCACTTGCAAAAAAAAATTCTTACAATCCAAAAATATGTTTTGGCTTTAAATAACCTACAAAATTTGATAAGCTGTGAAAAAAGAAAAGAAAAAATGATAAAAGCTACAAAAGTTTAAATGCTGATTTTCTAAATAGAGCTTCCCCATTTTCTTCTCATTTAACTGTCTGCCATACTAAACTGACTTAATATCAATAATGTTCAGTTGCTTGAATTGGGTTGAATAATCATCATTCAAAATCTTGATCAGACAAATGAGTAAATTTCCTTGCACTTGATACCAGCTAGAAATGCAGAGGAAAAGAGGAGGAAAGAAGAAAATAAGTTAGAAGAAAAATAAATGCAAAGGGAGAATTAAAAATAGTTTAACTCAATTAGTAAAAATATTACTTCCCAAAATTTGAACAATCAAAACTACTAACAGAAAGATCAAAACATATAAACAGAAAATATTTGTAGATTCTACATAAAAATAATCTTCAAAAAGGTGAATAATTAAGTCTTAAATATTTCCTGGTCATTTTTGGGCAAAATTTTGAAACCAGAGACCTTGGACATTTTGAACAAATTTCACTATTTCAGAACTACTCATGTAACAAAAATCAGCAGTGAAAATTAGTAAATGACCAATACAGAGTTGCTCATATGAACAACCTTATTCTATTTATGTTAGGCTATGTAATTCTTTCCAAATGCCAGAGCATTTTACCTATAAACTGGTACTGTGTGTCCAACAGGTTAAAATTCTTTATTTGTGAAAATGTTTTAATTTCTTTTTTTTTTTTCTTTTTTTTCTTCTTCAGGTTTTTCTGTGAGGACAAAAGACAAGATTTATGTCAACATTAAGGGCCAGAAAGCTTGCTTCCGGCGCCTAAATGCCACAAGCCAAATTGGTTGTTCCTGTAAGTTGTTATCTTCAAGTCTATCAAAACTGTTACTTTTTTCATTGCCCATGTTAGTGAAATAATTGTTTTGAGAGTAATCCTTAAATGTAGATACCTCCACAGAAAACTTGATACCTAAGATTTAAAATGAATTTTTAAAAATGAAAAATCTTTCTTGAAGCTTTTACTTTAGTTTTAATTCCAGTCTAATAGTTTAAATTTAATATTGCCAATAAGCAAAATACTTTGCAGTATTTCAAAAACTAATATAAATTGACTGAAAGGAGAAGGAGTTTTTTTTTTTTTTTATTAGTGCCCTCTTTTAATCATTTTTCAGTACAATGTAAAAATCTTCCAAAAATAAAATGTACTTTTATGAAACTTTATTTGAGAAATATTAGCTGCTTTAAAGTATAATTAATCTGATTTGAACGAACTATTATTTACTTTAAGTTTAAAATATCACAGAAATGCATTGTTTTAACACAGCAGTAGCTGTTTGTGTTGACAGCTTGATGACAGATGTATGTTTATCTAATGTTGTTCTACCAGGGATTTATCTGTAAAAAAAAAAATAATTGGACAATATAATGTGAGACCCTTTCATATATAATTTATAAGTGCTCAGTAATCTTAAAAATTTAGGGAAATTTGTAATCTAACTTTTTATTGAATTTTAGATCTTTTGGTTTTAAATTTACTATACTTATTACTCTTATTTTCTGATAATATTCTGATAATACAATGGTATCAACAAAAATTGGCATGTTTATACACATACAAAAAAGTTCAAAGTTCTTTTAAAAATATTTTTGTTTGATGAATTGTACTAAGTTTTTCCATTTAAGATTAATAAATATAGTTTTTACTTAATAATATCGTCTAAAAGGGTGAAATTAATACAGTATTTTAAGAGATTTAAAACTTAAATTATTTTAATTAAATTTTTTTTAAAAAATGAAAGGAATTCTTGTCAAAATTCATCATCCATCAAAAAAAATTTTCTTAAGACAATAGTGTCCTTATATTTTATTCATAAAAGCAATTAAAAACTTTTCTTATTACATAAAGTCTTAGTTTTATTGCATTTTATATTTTATGATTCAGAGCAAATTTTCAGTAAAAGTTGTTTTACAAAAGAAAAAAAATTGATGATTTAAAAAAACCCTGCTTTTAAATAATACAAATATGAAGAGGGTGAAATTTAATTTCTCAAAATTTCATAAAATTATGTAAGTGAGGGTAACAGATGTTTTATATATATATATATATATATATATATATATATATATATATATATATATACCATGATTTTCTAAAAAAATAAAAAAACATTTCAAAAATAATTTCATTCATTTGAGAATAAGTTCTGAAAGTTTAATTAAAATCCAACAATTATTTCATTTTTGCAAGAATTTCCAAATCAGTGATTTTTTGCCATAAAAAGGTCACTAGAATTTTCCATATTAATCTTTGCCTCGGATGACACAAGAGAAACAAGATTTTTAACCAAAGTTTTGAAAGTGCTAGAAAGGATTAAAAAAATTAATAAAATAATAAAAAAATACTTTGGTCTTTCTTCTTAATAATATTGACATTTTGATAATAAAACTTTGTTTTCTATCAAGTTTGGGACTTTGTTTTCATCATGGTATACTCTTAAATGCCTTGGAAAATCAAAGAATGTCATCTGGTCTCTAAAACTGATTTTTGTAAGGTAGGCTGAAATCACATGCCTCGTTTGGCAACCAGTCGAGGAGAAGGTAAACTCTAAATTCAAACCCAACTCAGTGTTGAGCTCTGTCAGAGTATTTTGACATGCTTAAAGCTGCAATATGTGTAATGCCACTTTGATCCCAATGAGTTATGGGACTTATGATTTATTATGAGAAGTAGTAGTAGTTGTATTGATCCCAATGAGTTATGGGACTTATGATTTATTATGAGAAGTAGTAGTAGTTGTATTGATCCCAATGAGTTATGGGACTTATGATTTATTATGAGAAGTAGTAGTAGTTGTATTGATCCCAATGAGTTATGGGACTTATGATTTATTATGAGAAGTAGTAGTAGTTGTATTGATCCCAATGAGTTATGGGACTTATGATTTATTATGAGAAGTAGTAGTAGTTGTATTGATCCCAATGAGTTATGGGACTTATGATTTATTATGAGAAGTAGTAGTAGTTGTATTGATCCCAATGAGTTATGGGACTTATGATTTATTATGAGAAGTAGTAGTAGTTGTATTGATCCCAATGAGTTATGGGACTTATGATTTATTATGAGAAGTAGTAGTAGTTGTATTGATCCCAATGAGTTATGGGACTTATGATTTATTATGAGAAGTAGTAGTAGTTGTATTGATCCCAATGAGTTATGGGACTTATGATTTATTATGAGAAGTAGTAGTAGTTGTATTGATCCCAATGAGTTATGGGACTTATGATTTATTATGAGAAGTAGTAGTAGTTGTATTGATCCCAATGAGTTATGGGACTTATGATTTATTATGAGAAGTAGTAGTAGTTGTATTAAAAAGTCAATTGTCAATTGTGATTGAGTATCATAAAAAAATATATTAAATTTGCATTTTTGTAAACGTTCTTAGTTTATATATATATATATATATATATATATACATGTTAAAGAAGCAAAATCTGTCATACAAACACATCTGTTTCACCCATTTGTTTGGGTGAAACAGTTGTGCATTTAACACCACACTGACATTCATGTTTAAGCCCAGATAAAAACAAAAAACAAAACAGAACTTCAAGTAATGATTTATGTCTCAGATAGGCTGATGATTTTAATGTTAGCATGCATGTAAATCCATCTACAAAATATTGTTGTAGAGTTGGAAATGATGGTTAGCCAATTGATGTTGGTGATTATAACAACTGCAGTCAATCCTCATTGTGTGCCTTACACTTGTAAGTGTTCACTAGATCTCACATGTTACCTTGCTTCAGTTTAAAGCAAGGTAACACGTGAGATCTAGTCTTGCACATCTGATTTTCACTAGGTGACGCACTTGTATTATTTCAGATGAAGTTAAACTTTGTAAATAGGGGAGTCTTGCCATAGATCAATGGTCAACCGGTTTGTCTTGCAGATTATTATTATAGTGATTCTGATCCTCACTGAGTGGCTCAACTTGTTTTAGACAAGCTAAACTTACAAAATAAAGGAGTTTTATCATGAGGAGCAAGCTAATCAGATTATTATTACTATAGTGGGTTAGTTCCTCACTGAGTGTCTCACATGTTGCTTTATTTCAGATGATGCTAAACAGTAAATCATCTTGCCAAGGAGCAATAGCTAGAAAATTATTATTAATAATAATAATGATGATGGCTCTGTTCCTTCCTAGGTATCCCATATGTTACCTTGTTTCTGACAAAACTAAATTTACTAAATGCTAAATTATTACAACCTAATTTTGTTCTTGTTCTTTTATGTATCCTTTGCCCTCTTTAAAATTGCTTTTTTTAACAATTCTCAATATTTTTTGCAGCTGAAAGTAAAGGAAATATTGGTGTTGTTCATTATATGAGAACCACAAAGGATCATGACTGGGTCTTAAATTTGGGGCCCTACCCTCCTTATGTTATATTGATTGCTGCTGAAAATTTTAACAGGTAAGAAAAATGTAGACTTTTTTGGGGACGGGGGGGGTCACTTAAAGAATATTTTTATTTATTACAAAATACTTTGTAGATAAAAACTTACCCCCCCAAAAAAAAACAAACAATCACTTATTATGTAACCAAAAATAATTCCTGTCTGAATTTCTGGAATGAAGAGTTGTTATTAATTACATACAAACTATTGTCATCACAACATTTTGGCTGTTGTGTCCTCCAGCCTTCATTAAGTGCATGTCAAACTGAGTAACTTATAGGGAATTTCAAGCTGAATCCTTTATTTAATCTATGGGGGTAGATTGTTCTCATTCTACTGCCCATGTCTCTGGATATCTCATCTAGTTTTCATTTTATTACAACTCAGTCATTGATTGTTCCATTTCAACTGATTTCAAGTACACACTGCCCAGCACAGAGATTGAACTCACAATTACTATGTCACCAAATTCATGAACCAACGCTTTAATCCACTAGGCTATTGTCCTGTGGGACCAAAACGTAATAACAAAGATGAGGACAATAGTCCGCATTAAATAATGTAAACAAAAATAATTGCTGATTAAATATATTTAATTATTTTGATATTATTTTTCTCACATGAAACATTGTTAACCCTTATTATTAAATTTTGATAAACCTTTATTTTATTTATTTATTTATTTTTTTTATATCTCATCCTTTCATGATGTTCATGAATTTTCACAGATTTGTTTTGTTTTTTATCTGTGAATTACCATGACTTTTTGGGAAAGTTTCCCATTGCCTTCTTCACCATTTGGAATCCAGATTTTTCCTTCTCTCAGACTGGCTGTCATCCAAGATAAGAGTGTCTAGTCTTTTCTACTATTTAACCCTTGGCTGGGTTGGGGAAGAAGAGAGAGAAAGTGAGTCATGCCTTTCCTATTAGTGTGAAAGTGAATGCAACAGACTAGCTCAAAATTTGAACTTGCATTACTAGTTCCATTTCCTGTACAGTTATCTGATGCACTTCCCAAACATGATAAACATTTACTTCTGTTTTAATTTTTTAGTTGTATTTTATAATAATTTTTCCCCGAAGCTATCACCCCCACCCCTTGTGATTGAACAGCATTGATTAGAAATAAGCTCTTGTTTTGATTTGAACTTCTGCTGTGTCTCAATTCCTTGAGGTTTCTACTATGTAGTCTTGGGAGACCCAACAAGTCTATTGCAACCATAATTAAAAATAAAACTAGTACACACACACACACACACACACACACACATATATATATTGTTACGAACTTGTAGCATATAGATGAACCACGGGTTCTAAAAAAAAAGGAAAAGGTGGTTTCTTTTCTCGGTCTTCACTCAGAAATGGAAGCGACACAAGGGAATCAACGAAGAACAGACACAAGACGATGGATTTCAAAATAAAACATTTATTTATAAATATATATAACGAACTAAAGAAAGAAAAGAAAAAAAAAAGAACATTCATTTAACAAAGGGGGAGGACATCATTAAAGAATAGAATAGAAGGCATAGCGAATACATACATATATGAAAACAGATCAAGCCAAAAGAACCAACTTATCTTGCAGTCGGGTTGGTATCGTCACATAAAGTTTTGATTCACCCGAGCGAGAGTTCTGATGATAAGACAATATCTTGGCGGCCGACAATGTTCCTGGATTCTTCTTCTTTTCACGAGTGTTCGAGGGTCCCCAGCATCTCATACAGGCATTTGGTTGGGTCGACCAGTTCCCTAGCAGTCCTTCCGACACTAGTCGACAGACTTTGCTGTCTTCCTCATCTCAGTGGGCGGTCTGACGATTTTTGCCCAGCTTACGTTCAACTGCTGCTGGTCAGAGGGAAACTGAAAAAATCCTTTTTGGTTTTCGCTGTCCCCAACGACAGTCACGTGGGTTCCTTCGTCCTTGACCAGGTATGCGGGAGGATAGGGCACAAATCACGCAGTGCTTGTGTGATGGCCAAAAGTTCAACACATGCTCAGTACGTTCCGATCACGTGAATCGCAGCAGGAGACCCTGATGGTGCCTGGAATTCACTCATGGTCAAACGTGAAATCTTGGAACCAGGTCATCCTCGCGTGGGTCACTTCAAGTTCACAGGCCCTTGGTTTGTGGGTGGAAGAGAGGATAAGGAGAGAAAGAATTTGTAAAGAGAAAGGAAGGATATGGCTGATCATAGAATATATTCGTCATGATCGGAAGCATTGGATTAAATTTCTGTTTTTTATTTATTTATTTATTTTTCTTTTATATCTAACTAGTTTTCTCTTTATTTAAACATTTTTACTTTTAGCCTAACGCCTATATGGTTAATGAAATCGTACGCTTGTGACATATATATATATATATATATATATATATATATATATATATATATATATAAAATATGCAGTACTTAGTGAAATATCTGTGATTGAACTAACATATTCAGTTGTATGGATATTAGTTTTCTAACCTGGGTTTCACCCTTTTAATAGATCATCAGACAAATGATTGCAAAAGTGAAACCCAATTACAAAACTAATATCCATAAACTGATATATATATATATATATATATATATATATATATATATATATATATATATATATATATACTAGGACATCTTATTTTTTATTTTTCCTAAAGATTTTAAAAATGTTTCAAATTGACATTTTATTTTAAAGTTAACACAAAAAAGCCAATATCTCTGCATACATGCTTTTTTTTTTTTTTCTCTCATTAGAATCTATCTTACACAGTTATAGATCTACTATTTGTCCATGTATTGAATATTGCCGCCACATCTGGTCTGGAACTTCTGCTATGTGTTTAGAGTATAAGAATAATCTGCAGTATTATCGGTCCTAACCTAACATCTTGGCTTCAGTTAATTTCTCACTACCATAGCACAGCTTCCCTGTGACTTTTGTATAAATATATTCATAGTAATTGTTCTATTTACATTATTGGACTGTTATCTTCATCTACATTATCATATTCATGTTTTGGCCGTTGTATGCTCCAGTCTTCAGGTGATTGGAATTTTGAACCAAAACCTTTATTTTATCCACCAGAGTAGATTGTTCTAGTTCCACATGCTAAGCCTCTTCCAGATGTCTCAGTTATTTCCCTTTAATTCAACTCTCCAAGTATTTTGATTCACCACTGCTATAGCCTGGTATTGTACTTGCAACTCTTTGGGTCTAGTCACTGGAGCTAACCAATGCCTTTATCCACTGGACCATGTGTCCTTGAGGACCCAAAGTTCAATTAATACCAGGCTACAACAGTGGTAAATCAAAATACTTGGAGAGTTGAGCTAAAAGGAAATAACAGACATCCAGAAGAGGCATGTCATGTGGAACTAGAACAATTTACCCTGGTGGACGAAATAAAAGGTTAGATTTGAAATTCCAATCACCTGTTGAAATAGCTAGATGTAACCATAAGTTCTATGCTAACAGTTGCTTTTCTCACTCTTCTTGTATGTGGAATTCTCTTTCAATCTGTTGCTTTTCAGTCAACTTTGATCTTCAAAATTTTAAACTCTTAATTCCTGTTCTTTTATTGTTCTAACTCCTTTATATTCAGTACCCCACTTGCATCTTAGTAGCTTTATTACCTTACTTGGAGTGAAATGATTTTAAAAAAATCTCTTAAAAGAGCATTAAATAAGTAAACTGAGGAAGATTTATTTGTAGTGAGTGTCAAAAGCTTTAATCTTCTAAATGTTTTAATCAAATGTTTTGTACATTTACAAGGCAAGACATCACAGAACTGATCGATTCCAAGAGAGTCAACGGCATTTTGGTTATTGAGGCCAATAGTACTGCCCAGTTGCCACCCAATGGGTTTTCTTCAGACAAAAGTTGTCCCAATGACGGTTATGGTATGTATGCATAAATTTTCTGGCTTTTGATACATTTTCTTTCCTTGTTAATGTGGATTTGAATAAACTGTGACTCTTCAGTAATCATGGATTTTAACATGTTTTCTCGAAATATAACATGATTTTAGCTATATGAAATATAAAGTAAATATTAACTGAATTAATTTTTAACATATATATATTTAAACCTATCAGTTCTTAAGAAATTGTTAAATCTCTGGGCTTCTGACTGGATTTGTTGAAAAATTTAAATATGTGATGTTGCAATTGTTACATAATCCATTAAAGGATCCTTGCACAACTTTTATTCAATAAATTGTCTTTTGGTTAAGCACTTTGGTCAAAACCTAGTTGAGATCTTGCTTAAGGTATCTCTATTGATTTTGAATTCAGAGTTGTCCTCCTCCTGGACTAGTTGCCAACCATGGTTAGAAAGGCCAGTCTGCCATAGCTGGAGGATGAAGGGATGGATTCATACCTTTTTCTAGGATATTTGTTCATAAGTGAATGTAATGAACTTGACTGGAATTTGAACTCTGCTCTCTGATTTCTTATTCTAAGCTACTATTCATCACACCACCTGCACATTTGTGATGTTAGTGCAATTTGAAATATTTTTAAAAAAAAACATTGAAAATCAAATATTACAAGATTTTATGTGAAAGTAAATTGATTTCTCCTTCAAATTTTGTAAAAGTTGTAGATTCCCAAAAAGTTTCAAATTTCTGGGTGCTTCTAGTTCATGTAAGAGATGTTAATGCTGTATATGGAAATACAATTCTACCCAATTTTTGACACAATCAGGTGCTCTCAAACTGGAAATGTGTCTGAAACTTGGTACATTTAGCCATTTCTGGTTTTAAAGGGTTAATATATAGGATTTCATTATATAAGCATAATATTTTGCCAACCTTTTCAAATATCAAGAAACATTTTTTATGGAATGTGTGTCTAGAAGATGACTAATTTAAAGCATCAATAATTATGGTTGTCCTAAAAAATGTGGTTCAAACTACAATGTAATCGCCTTCCCCATTCAACAGAGAATATTTAAAAAAATTGGATGGGATATAAAAAGTTACTGGGACTTTGTGTTTTCTATTTGGCCCAGTTCAAAATGACCCTTTTTGTGAACTTATTACAAATTTAGAAAGTTTTGATATTTTGCTAAGGAAAAAAAGGTGTGTTTTATATGGCATCAAATACTGCACTTATATTTAGTTAGAAATCTCTCACAGTTTATAGAATATTAAATTTATTGAGAAACTACAAGAACTTTCCTTCCAACCAAATAATTTGCCATCAGATGTCTAATAAATCAGTTTTAGCTCAGGAAAGAATAAGTTTCTTTTGCAACATTATGAATTTTTCATGGATATGTGAATCTAGCAGCATGAGATAAGTTTAAAGCAGTGAGTCAGTATATAAAGGTAGCATTGTTTTTACATTTATGTTGTGTGGATAGGTCACACCCCTAATATTTTGTGAAATTTTTGGTAAAAAAAAGTGTGACCTATCCATGAGTATATACGGTAACAAGTTCATCAACATTCACTATCGCAGGTTGGATTTCATGCATTGATTTTTCCATTAGATTTATAGCATTCACTTAAGATTCCCAAACAAAATTTTTTCTGACATAATAAAATAAAAATTTCAAAATGAATTTGTATTAACCATTGATTTATCTATTTGAAGGTCTCTATTACAATAACACTGTTTACAAAAGCTGCAAGAAAGTAGAATGGAATCCTCCTGGAGAAGGACAGATGTTTGTTGACTATAGCATACCAATCTTTTTGCTCACAAATTCAAATGAAGTACAGTATATCATAGAGCAAGTAAGCATTTTATCTATTTTTTTTTTTTTTTTTTTTTTTTTTTTTTGTTGACATTCAAGCTTTACTTGCTCCCTCTTCCTTCAGGGTATTGCAAAAAAAAAAAAAAAAAAAAATGTTTTTTTCCCTAAGGTATGTTGTCTTTTGGGAAATTGGAAATGAAATACAACTATATCTCTGCTATTTTTTTCCCAGCACCCATTGCTCCAGAATCATGTCATCCATTTTGTCACATGAACAGATGTCATGTAATAATTCACTAGTACATCTCAGATCCACTAATTATGAAAATCTATCTTCAAAGTATTAGGATTTTTTGAAACTTTCTCATATTAAATTCTTTGGTAAATGTCTCAATAGGCTTGTCAAAATTTACATATGGTAATATTGAGATTATCTGTTTCTATATAGGCAATGTTCGACATTCAAAGACCAAGTACTTAGTTTTACTCTCAGCTGAAAATATTATATAAATCTTTGTCTTAAAACACTTATTCAGGAAAATAGACTTCTTAAGTTCATTAAATGTTATATCTCTTTCTTGATGGGAGTTTCCTTTCAAGCTTTTTGATTTTGGTATTGTGGAAAATTAACAGCTTTCCAGTTACATGTGCTACCCATTTTTATTGTTATTGTTATTGGAAGTCTTCAAGTGATTGATCTTTGGTTATTTAGTAAAACTAGGTACCTCCACGAAATCGCTAAAAAAAGAGCATAGCTTGATGAAAAAGACGCCAACCTTGCCGAAAACTAAATTTTATTGTCTAAATGCTTATGTTATTATTAAGAGGAAAGACCAAAGTTTTTTTTTAATTATTTTAAAAAAATTTTCCTTCTTTTTAGAACATTCTAAATTTTGATTAAAAAAACCTTTTTTCTATTTGTATCAGCAGAACTAGTAAATAACATAGACAATTTTTAGCACGTTTTTTTGGTATGACACACATTAATTTGAAAAATCGTGCAAAAATAGAAATAATTATCAGATGGTAATGAAACTTTCAGGAACTATTCACAGATGATCGAAATTATTATAAATATGTTTTTTTTTTATGAAAGTCGTGGTAGAAATATTTTTTAAAAATATTTATTACCCCCCCAAACTAATTTTATGAAAACGCTAGAAATTGATCGCATCGGTTTTAGTGATTACAATAATTAAAAGCACCAGGGCTTTGAGGAATGCAAATCATGTTTTTTGTTGTTTTTAATTGGATATGCAGTACCTGAAAATCAGATCTGAATTGTAACATACAAAACTCAATAAAACAAAGATATTATTTAATTTCAAATGCTTTTATTTGCTTTTAGTTGTTTTTATGAATATGGACAATATTTTCTGAAAGCAAAAAAATTTTTTCAATGAAAAATGAATTTTTAATAGAATTATTTGTTATTTCATTAATTATAATAGATTTTACATTTAAGTTGTAAAATATTATAAAATTAGTTAAAAGCTGCATCGGCTTTCATAAGTGTCCTTATGAGATAGATCTTTTTTAGCGTTGTAAATTGTATCATTTTGACTAATCAGAAGATCCCCAGTAATTAAGAAATGTCATTTTGTGCTTATAATCGAGCTGTAATTATAAAATACGGAAGACCAACCAGAATATAATTAAGTTATGTTATTTGAGTTAAGCATTGTTCTCTGCTGTTAAGGCCTTTACTTTTTAAAACACGGTGGAGAAGTTAATTTTATTTTCAATTTCAACTGAGAAGGGTACCTACAAGTATCAGTATCATCTTATGAAATTTATATGATCTTATTTTTATATTAATCTCAGTTACGACATTTTTCCATAAATGAAATATCAAAATTAATAATAAAATGAATGCAAATACAAATAACAGTAGAATGTAATAAATGTACATAAAATTATAGTATTTTATGTACAATTCTGATAAAATTTCATAAGAAAGGTACCTATAAATTAATTAGATACCTTTCTTAAGAAATATGAAATTTAATGTCACTCTTAACAGTTTTATTTTAATTTCTTTACAATATATTTCCCATAAAGCATCATAAACGTAAAGGTGAAAGCTAAGTACAAAAAAAAAAAAAAAAATATAGACCGCTGAAAGTTTTCGTTAAAAATAACGGGTAAATAATTTGTTCACGTAAATGTAAATTATTTCACTTTTCTCCTTCCATAGAACAAATTAGCCTCATGGAATTCAGAAATATATCATTCATCACATGTCAAGAGACGCGAAAGTTTATGACCTGCTTTGTTTTATTTTCCAATTACATCTTTTTGGCACAAAAGCTAAGTTAAGTTTGGTTCAAAATATTTTAAATAAACATTATAATTTCTGATTTTCTTAAAATAAGTTTTGAAAAAAATGATAATTGATATTTAAAAAAATTTCAAAGTCAGATTTCCAGTTTTTTTTAAAATGGAAAAAAAAATGGTCAATTTTGCTGATTCAAAAAAAACTAGATTTTTAACGAAAATTTCGGACGTGCTAGGAACGATTAAAAAATGGAAAAAAATACCCCAAAAATACTTTGACCTTTCCTCTTAATAATAACAAACATTTAGACGATAAAATTTTGTTTTCGTCAAGTTTGGCGTCTTTTTCATCACGCTATGCTCTTTTTTTAGCGATCTCGTGGAGGTACTTAAGTAAAACTCTTTGTGATTCTATAGCACCAGTTTATAGGGTCTGATGAAGGATAGTCTTCTTTACAACTGGAAGAATTCATTCACTTGGAGTCATTTTTAATAATTGATCTGAGAAAATGGTTGTGTATAGATGTTTGTTTGAATATTGTTAAATGTGTTGGATGACATGCATATGCTTTGTGAAATGTGAGTAATACTTAACCTTAATAGAGGGATCCTTTTAAAGGAGCAAAAATTTAGAATTTAAGTAAAGAACTATTTTTTTTTTTTTTTTTAAGCATTAAGTTTATCAAAGTGATAATTCTGGAAGAATAATAAAAAAAGAACAATGGGACACTTTTTTTTAACAATGCTATGACATGCCACTAAGCTTAAGACCATCCTGTTTATTAATTTTGTGCTCCCCACCCTCCAGAGTTCAAACAGGAAGCAGTTTACTTGCACAATTTTGATGTAGTTCATGTTGAAAGATATATATATATATATATATATATATATACACACACACACGCACACACACAATGGAATACTATTTTTTAAACAATGCACACTTTTGATATGTGTTGAAAGATTTTATTATATATTAATTAAATCTTTCAACACCTATCAAAAGTGTGCATTGTTTACAAAATAGTATTCCATTGTTCTTTTATTGTTTCCACAAATACAATATTCCATTCTTTTGATAAACCTTTTTTAAAATAACTTTTTTGTTATTCTCAATATATGAATCTGCCACCATGTTCTTCAGTGTCAGCAAATCAAACAAGTTTAGATTTTCATGATACACACCCAACACATAGTAACATGGTGTTTAAGGGATCATTTTCTTGACTTTTACTAATAATAAATTTGTGCATTGGTAATGGCTTTGTTCAGATACAAAACTGCTCTAAAATAAATATTTCTCTGCATAAAATGAATACTTCCTAATAAGATGATTGCATATAAAGTTGATTTTTATTAGCTATGCTTTATCACATACTAATTAAGTTGCTTATGCACCTCTTCACATGCTGCTATCTTATCAAAAAATGTCAAGTCCTGGGGGACAATGTTGATTGTTATTGTAGTGCTTCTGAAAAAATGTTTCTTTACTTAAATTCTAAATTTTTGGACCTTTAAATGATTTTCTAAGTCCTGCTTTTATTAAGACCCCCACCAGTTTATTGCATATTGTAAAAAATACTTCTGACCCCTGCATAAATTATCCCCCCATCCCAGGCTTTGTATTTGGCATCTAAGAGTATTGTTTTGTGCTTAAAAAAAAACAAATCTTTCCTAGGGCATTATACCATATACTATTCATACTGTTGTCTTGATCACATTGCCATGTTTCATTTGTCTGGCCTAATTTAATGGAGTTCTGCCAAATAATGAGAACACAAGACTTTAATCTCTCATATATAACATTTTTTTTTTTATTTGAGCATCCCTAGGCAGTGTAATGGTTAGCAAGCTTGTCTTACTAGGATATATACAACTGAATAGTGAGTTCGATCCTCACTGGGTGCCCCATACTTTCAGCCTTGTACCACATCTAAACTACGCTTGGAAAATCACTATAACATATTTTATTTCACATTGAGATTTCATCAATTACTTTTGTCCAGTGCATGTGTAGGTGAGTGTCCTTGGCCCCCTCACATAAAAATTTAAACCTTACATTCTCTTGCACAATGTCTGTGAGATTGCCCCTCTTGGGTCAGTGTTTATATATTTTCTTGTACAGATTTTTGTCCTACATACACATATCATGCACAGCTGGGACAATCATGTGGCTAGGGGTCATCTCATGTCAACTCTGCACCTTGTTTCTCTGAAGGGCACAATGCAAAGTTTATTTTAACATGGCCTTTCTATGTCTGCTATCAACTCTGTCATATGCATATCTTATGTTGTTAAGATTGTGGCTGTTAATAATGAATCCTGGTAGGACTTCTAATTCTCTAATGCTTTGCTATGTCCATTGAATAAGTAGTGGTTGGAAAATTGTAAATTTATAATCAGCAGCCATAGTAGAGTTGTTTAAAGGATGACTTCTTAAATATAACCCTCTTCTCTTTACCTGGAGGGTATTTCTAGTAGTTTGAAATTTTCAGCAGTGGCAAAATGGATAGTGTTGAACAATCAAAATACACATTACAAAACTCTGACTAATGAAAATAACAAAGAACTCAAATGTATGAGTAGAAGTGAATGCAAAAAAAAATACAAGTTAGTCATAATCACATCAAAGTCTAAAAATGAAGAATTCGGTCTCTTTGGCAAGAAATAACTATATGTTAAGCTGAAATTTGTAGCTCTGAAATTGAAAAGTTGTAGACCAAGAAAAAAAGATTTTATTTAATTATTTTAAGATGTTGGATAAAATTTGAACATTAAAAAAAAATTCTTTTTTCTTTCTTTTCTTTGTTTCTTTTTTTCCTTTTTGTTTCGTTCTCTCACTTTATGAATCAAAAGGAGGAAATTGATCTCTCAATTTCTTTCCAAATTCCATGAAACTGTTTGAAAATTTCATGTCCTGACTTTTATTTTCTCTCTTATATGTTGACTATTTGGCAAAGTTTAACAAACATACCTGTAAAAAATGTGTGTCACAAGAACTTTCATTCTTTTGACATCTTTTTGACACACAGCAATTTTTATTGTAAGCTATTTATAGAATTTTAATAAAACCCCAAAATATAAAACAAGATTTATACATTTTTTGTCCTCAAGAATTGACAACAAAAATGTTAAACAGTATTTATTAGAGTATTTATTTACAAGAATAATTTTATATTCACAAGATTATATGAAGCAACTACAATGCAATATTTATTATTTACCATATAAAGATAACAAGAAAACAATCTTTTTTAACTCATAAATTTATAAAAATGTCTGAACAAGAAAATTTAAATAAACACATAACTACAAGTAACTAATTATAAATTTTGAAAAAAGGTATTTTCTAAGCATTTCTTTCATTTGCTCTTACCATATAAATTCACTAAAATAAATTGAGGGCATCTGGATTTATGCATTTTTTTCTCAAGAATTAACACCGTTATTGTTGAACACTATTAGGTTGTTTATTTACAATAATTTGGCAAAGTTTAAGAAATGTACTTGCAAAAAGGGGGAGTATATAATAATAGCAGTGTCAACATTTTTTGTGGTTACATTTCTTAATCTTTGACAGCCATTTTTTGTGAAATTCTACTTGAAAGCCTGTGTGACAGATAATGTCTAAAGAGTATCTGTCTATATTTCTGAGATGAGGTATTATGAACATTATTTACATTATTCGGACTATTGTCCTCATCTTTGTCACCATATTTATTACGTTTCAGCCATTGTACACTCCGGCCTTCTTCAGGTGGTTGGAATGTCGAACTGAACCCTTTATTTCGCTCACAGGGGTAGACTGTTCTAGTTCTACATTCCATGGATGTCAGTTATCTCCTGTTAATTTCCCTCTGAAAGTTTTCCACTGCCTTAACCGGGTATTGAACTCACACTCTTTGGGTCCTGTCACTGGATCTAACTAACACCTTTATCCACTGTACAATGTTTAAAGAGCAAGTTATGATTAGCACTTTGAATTAGAAATTTATTATATTCTTGATAAGATTTTTTTTCTTTCTTCCAATTATTTTTAGTACTGCTGTAATCTTAGTGTAAATTTTGATCTTAAATCCTTTTGTTTATTTTCTTTTTTTTAGTGTTATGAAAAATACAATAATCCTGATGATGGTTTAGCATCTCACTTTCCATTGTGTGCAGCGGAACTGAAAGATGCCATGAATGGAGCCAAAGATTCTATCACCTGCATACGTCGTTCCAACCATTTCACTAGCCTGACAACTAGCATGAACCAGTATTGTGATCCATTGGGAGACAAGAATGTTTTTGGGTTTGTCAACCCCAAAAATAAACATGAAGAACAGCAAAACAAGTCAGTCATTATTGCTGCGTGCAGAGTAAGCCTTTTTTTTATTTTTCTTCTTTTTCTTCCCCCTTTTATTTTTTCTAAGAAATTGAAATGAATAATAACTTTCATTCAGTTAAGTTTTATACACTTGTATTTAAAAATGCATTTTATAGCTTGGTGAACAAATACAGCCATTTTTTTTTTTTTTTTGAGAAATAATTGGTTTCTTTGACTCAAGGCAAATCATTTCCCAGAAAACCTTGTAAAAGCTTTAAATGAAAATATGACTAAGATTTTATTAATAAATTGTTGTTCTAAGTATCTGTATTTGTGTAATTTTTAACTTTTTTTAGTTGGACTACATGACGTTGTTTGAAAATGTGAATCGAAGTGCAGATAACCCAGTGACCAGCATTGTTGCTCTTCTTGCTGCTGCAGAAGCCATTGGAAAAGTGAAAGAGGAAATCACTGATAACAAAACTATTCTCTTTACATTTTTCCAAGGAGTAAGTATTTATTTTAAAAAGGCACTCACCACTAAAAAAAAACAAAAAAAACAATAATTATCTAGATATTACACATTCTAATTTGTTGGTATTATGGTCATTTTACTAAGCTTGACCAAAGCAGTTATTTAATTTAATCAGGCTTCTCCCATCTTAAATGAGAACAGATACTATGCTTTGATCCTAGCCAAAAGGCCATGTTTGAATGATGCTGAGAAATTATTCTTCATTTTTGATACTGTACTCTTGACTACCAACTATAGATTTTACAGTCAAAGTTGAAAAAAAAAGAAAAATTTAGATAAAAGTAAATACTAATAAAAAAAATTAAAGCTTGACCACATTTAAAAAAAAAGTTAAATTGCACCAATCTTTCTGCTAGCTTTGAAAATAAGCATTTAGAATTGTGGCTTTTATATAAATTTTAACACTGATGCTGCTTAGAAATATAGAACCATGTGGCAGGTTTCTATTTGCTGGTATTATTAGGACTTAAAGCCTGTAGACATAAGCTCAACACAAAAGAAAATGTGTGTTTGTCAGGGAATGTTAGTGTATATCATGGCACTAATTTTCAGAAATGAATTAGAATGAATGAAAAATTGATGTAAACTCAATGGACAAAAAGCAGGCCTATAAAATATATTTTCAGTTTTCTATAAAGAGAACATTGCATCTTAATTATTGTTGATTTCTCTTTATATAAAACTATGAAAATGTATCCTGATTGTTTTGTTTATCAGTGGTGACCAATTGCTACCACCTTGAGTTACTCTTTCTACTATGCCTTGTTATATCATTTTGTTTAATTTGGCTACTACCAAAGGTAGGATATGAATTGGAACTTTTCTTGAATCTGTATATTTTGGGTGATAATTTTCTTTTAGTTGGATGCTTGCTTTTATAGCCTTTCAATAATCTTATTTCTTTTTCTTCTGCTTCCATGGAATTGATTAGTCTTGCTCTATCTACTTTTAATATATCAGTTCCTAGTAATCCATGATTTTTTTCACATTCTACAACTCTAATGGGAATTATTTCAAAACGATTGTTGGTTTCAAAATTGCCTTGAAATGTACCCATTATCTTTATAGTCATTCCATCAAATTGCTTTAATTGGATGCTGCTTTTTTAATTTAGGTCATCCTAATTTTATCCAGAAATTTTTTAGTATCAACATGACTTCACTGCCTGTATCAACTTGCATGTTAAATATTTGGCCATTTATCCTTATTTTTTCTCTATTTCTTTCTTGTGTATTCATTGTAAATATTTCAGCTTCTTCTTTGGAAGGGGTTTGTACCGTTGTATACTCTATTTTCTTTTCGTATTTGCATACATTCTGAAAATAATCTTTTTTTTTTTTTTTTTTTTTTTTTTTGCAATTTGGACATTTGTACTTGTCTCTCTCATGATTTTTTTCTACAATATCTACATTTAATTATGGATTTGGTCATGCTTGTCCTGTATGCCTCAAATTCTTCTTTTGGTTGATTAAATTCTCTAATCAACTCTAATTGTTGTAAAAACTGAGAAGGATTAATTCATTTTCTGTAGTAATTTCCCATGCTTCCAGTTTTTCAAATTCAGAATACTTAGCTCATTCTTTCAATCTGGGTGCTTGTCTTGTCTCTAAAAACTTGGTTCTTCTGGCACTGACCTATCTTTTCTTTGGTCTTTTGTTCTTTTTTATAATTTTAATAATTTCTTCAAATGTTATTTCTTCTAATTCGCTCGGGTAACACATTGTCGAAATTTTATTCACAGCTTCGCACCCAGCGATAGCAAGAAATAAATCCATTATCTTGTTCACTCCTCTGTCAGTCTTTGTGTCTTAATTTTTTCATTCTTGCAAATGCTGCAAAAGTTCTTGTTCCTGTTTCTAGAGGTTCTGGGTCATCCAGTGAATTTAACAATCCTATCGGCACCGCCATTGTTATGTTTTGCATATCTCTCTGCATAGTAGTAGTCATAATACAGTTCTCTGTGTCCTGAATAGCAACTAGGTTTGTTAGGCAGAGTCTCTATGTTCACCAGTTGTTCTCTATTTATACTTGTCTGTCTAATTTGCATAGAAGTATTAAAATCACTTGTTACCTACTTTGCATCTTTTGTCATTTGAAACAAACCAGTGTCATTTTGCACATCTGTGAATGCAGTATAAGGTTGTCTTGGCAAGAAAGAATAAAAAAAAGTTTATTGGTTTTATGTGCTTCCATAATGAGAAAAAATGGCAAATTAAAAATAGTAACAATGAAAATTGTCTGAATGTTGTAAGACAGTTTTTTTAACCATTATATGTGATTTTGTTTGAACTTTTTTACATGTGCCATGTCACTTTGGTATGTGGTAGATCATGGTTCTCTATGACTTCCTATTTATAGCTCTTAGCAATAGCTATTTTTTTTTTTTTTTACTGTTCCTCCCAATTCCTTTTCTGTTATCCATTTACACAAGTTCATGAGGTAGGTTTTCACTTTCCCTGTGAGTGTCAAATACTCCAAACCCATTTTCTTCATTATGTATTCCACAAATTTCAACTGTCTTTTTCTGATTCTAAATGTCAGTGTTCTTTTTGTTTTCATTTTCCTTACAACTTTCACATGCTTTGTCCATAGCATTATCAGCAACCTTTGGTAGAACCACATTTCTGTTGCTTCAAGTTTCCTGTTCATGTATGAGGATATTGTTGAGCATTCATTATCACGTAGAATGACTGATATTACATAGCAATTTAAGATACTTTTCTTTCTCAGAGTTAACCTGTAGAAGGGACAATATTTATAAATGTAAAAGACAATAGAAAAACTGTAATAGTTGCCAACGTGTTTCATCCGATGTGGACTTTCTCAAGGCAAAAACGAAATGAATGTATTAAACAGAGTAACTAATAATAACAAAATAAAATGTCCTTAGCAACTGGAAGAATTTAGAGAACGCTATTTTCATACTGTTAACTGAAATTACGTCATTTACTGTCACGTGTGGAGATATTGTTTTTATTGCTGTGTTGATAGATTCAACCATTTTCTTTTGATTTCTTGATACTGTTCTGTACGTTTGTTTGGGAGAGTAGTAATTCTGTTAAGAAAGGTGAAATAGGGAAAAGGCCTGGGCGTAGATTAATATTTGGGTAATCTATGCCCAGGCTTTTTCCCTATTCCACATGTCTTAGTATTAGTTATGTCCCTTTAACTCAACTATCCAAGTTTTTTGTTCACCTCAGCTGTAGCCAGGTATTGAACTCACAACTCTTTGTGTCAAGTCACTGGATTCAACCCAATGGGCCATGTGTACAATATCTCATCTCAGATATATAGACAGATATTCTTTCTCTTCATCAACTGGCCATTTATTCTCTATCGGCTGATTTCATATGCCTACAGATGTGAGTAAATTGCTACTTTACACTAACAAATGTCCAACTGACTCTTCAAGGCTGTCTACTGCTGTTCCTTTCTTTGCTGGGATGAAAGAAGAAAATGTCCAGAGAAAAATAGGTTTTGTAAAATTGATTAAAGAAAATTTAATGTTATAAAAACACATTAAAACAAAATTCCCCATCTCCTTAAAATATGCTAGCAATATCCACAAAAATTCCACAGTTTTCACATTTTCTGATTAATCATAAGTCTTGATTTAATGATTGAATATGTGCCTTGTGATTTCCACAACTATGAAATTCTCCTGTCTTGTATTATTAAATATTTTAGCTCAACAACTTTAAAAAAAATATAGGAAACAATTGTTTTAATTTCTTGGATGAGGCATTATCATTATTTACACTATTTACATTCAGATTATTGTCTTTATCTTTATTGTTGTTATCACAACATTTTGGCTGTTGTGCCCTTTGGCCTTCATGAAGGAATTCCAAACTGAACCCTTTATTTAATCTATACTTATTCAACTGCATGTGACTAGAGATATCTCATCTAGTTATTATATTTAGTAGTGCTCAGTTATTACTTACCTCATTTCCACTGAGTCCAAGTACACCTTGCCTGACATTGAATTCATAATTACTATATCACCAAATTCATGAACTAAGATTTTAATCAACTACGACAATTTTCTGTAGAGAACTTGGAATCCTAAACCTACCCTGCCTACTGATAAGTGCTGCTGTTAATCATGCTTGTCTGCACTTACAGAAGCTTTTCTCTTTTGCTTCTGCTGTTGTCATTGTCTTTCTTTCTTAACAGCTTTGATATTGTATTTATTTCTATGTTAGGCCAACTGAGGATGTCCTCATAGTCTAGCATATGCGCTGATTCTTTTAGGTCTGACTCTCCAGTGTTTTTCCTTGTCCAGTATTTTCATTTCATTCCACAGGGGCTGATTATTACCCTTTCTCTCCATACATGATCAGCCGGACCTGATTTCATTGTCTCACCCCTCGCTACAGCTTTTTGATGCCTTACTTTCAGAAGGCGGCCTGTTTCACCTGTAGGTTACTCAAATCGATATACACCTGATGAAAACTGGAAAGCACTAGGAAAATATATTAATTGCTCTTCTTCTACATTGCTTCTTGCTTGGCCTTCATAGATCTTAGCCCTCTACTTTTCTCTCTTGCTCATGATGATCTGCACTTTTACAGTGTTGCACTTTGTATCATCATGTAGTTGTTTGACAAAATATTTGGCTAGTTAACCTCTAGTACTTCTGCTATTAGTTGGTTGCCACAGCAATACATTAGTAACAAATTCTTTACTACCCCAGCAGCATCCCACAAATCATAATCCAGGGTTTGTACAGGTCCTGCAAAAGTTTTGAAAAAACAGCAATAGCCCAAAAGCTCCTTGAAAAGTTTTGGAATTTTCTAAATCTCAAAAGATTTATCAGTTTTTTCTTAAATTTGAGCAATTGAAGAAATTCTATTCACATATCAATTTCAAAAGTAAAAAGTCCTTTTGATCTCTAGCCAGCAATGGGTGAGTTCATGCTGAAAAAATAGATACATAACATCCTGTGAAGTCAATGTGTATCTATGTGTAAACTACGTTTGTCTAAAATTTGACTCAAAGAAAATATAGATGGCAGTGATGATAGAATAGAAAATGTGCATTTGATGTGTCTTAGAATAGGATAGAAAATGCGTCTTTGAAAAAATAAGGATGTTATTTTTAAAGTTTTCAGGCTAATAATGACCTGTATCTCTAGCTTTTGTTTTAAGTGTGAAAAAATGATGAAATATATTAAAACATTTTGGGCTTGGCTTTATACTAAAAATTAAATCTGGCAACCCTGTTCCTTTACTTTTGTATTTCTGTCATAAATGGCTAGAAAATGTACAAACATGTGAATGAAACCTAGACATTTGGCCAGATGTCCTAGAATTTGTGAACTTAATTAAAAAAACAGAAAAATGTCGCCAGACCAAGTCCTTCTCTGCAGTGCTGTCAAATGTGAATGACATTTTATTTCCAGTGAAACTAGATTTTTGTGTCTGGTTTGAAATACATTGAACCATTTCTGATAAAATAGAGCAATAAACCCTTGCTTTCTTACAGATGATCTTTTTAGCATGATCATGAAACTGTTAAGATTTGTAAAGGAAGAGCAAACTGAAAATATAATTACATTTTCCAAATTGAATAAATTTCTAAGAATTTTGCTAAACCCAAACATGCATAAAGAAAAACATTGCAAAGATTGAGTGTAGATTTCTGGCAGATAGGGCTATGCAAAATTTATCCAATAAAGGAAATGTCAACAAAAGATCTGTTTGCATACAGAATTGTAACAAAGACAATGTTCATCGCCATCATAGAGAAACTTTTGACAGTCTCCCCTTAGATATCCTCTTGTAAGGTCACTTGCATTGCTGAACCCTGGATTCATTTGTGAAAAAAATTTGCCACAGAAAACAGTCTAAAAAAAATGTCTCTCCTATATGATGGATAGAAAAAAAGTTGGCAAGTTTGATTGGGATGACATCATAAGTCAGTACAAAGAGTTTGAGGAGGAGGCTGCTGAAAATATGTTTTCAAGAATTTCAGCAAGCATGAAAACAGTCTGAACACTTTGTTCTACTCTTCTTTGTCAACAAACAATATCAAAATCTGTGGAAAGTTGTTCACAGTTTGCTGGTATTCTGTCGGGGACAGGCCTCCGTGGAGAGTTTTCCTAGTCACTTATCACTAATCACCTTATAAAAGCAAGCATTCTCCTTCACATGTTAGAGCAAGTGGCCATCGAGACTGAGTCACTTGCTCTAATGTATGAAGGAGAATGCTTGCTTTTATAAGGTGATTAGGAATAATGGCTAAATCAACAGCATAGTTTCTGTCATCTTCTCATGATACTTTCTGCTTTTTCTCTGTATTAGGGTAAAACGCAGGTAACTGTTAGTACAGCTGACTTTTCATAGATACATGGAATTATAAAAAACAAAAATAATGTCACGCAAAATATGAACACGAAAGAGATTTTTTACAAAACAATACACTCCAAGCTCACTGTAATGAGTCTGACCATAATTTAGTTTTAAAAAAAAAACTGCTACTCTAATTAAGAGAAAACAATTCACTAAAACAAAAATGTATAGAAAGTGCTTTAATTGTTAGATTATCCACCGTAAATTTATATGCAGGTTCTTGCTTAGCAGATCTATTACCACAATGTGAGATATTTAATAACAAAGGTGATGGAAACATGAACTAAAAAAAGAAATTAAATGAAATCAACTTGGCTATATATCCAAAACTTATTTAAAAAAAATTTAATTTAAATCCTCAGCGTCCTTTCTCCTTTGTGTGTATGTGTAGCCGCATCAATGAAAATGTCACTTTAGTCCAATAAAGTCCAACAAGATTAAATGCATCACATGAAAACATTTTTTTTTACATTGTCATAGTTTTTTTTCCCCTAAAATTGTTCTTGATATATAAAATTTTATAGATCAATTTCTCATATATGTAACTATTTTTTCTTTTATCAGGAAGCATTTGATTACATTGGGTCAAGCCGCATGGTATATGACATGGAAACTGGCACCTTTCTAAAGAATGAAGACAAATATGGACTACATGCTCTCAACCTTAATCACTTGTCACATTTTATTGAGGTTAGCCAACTTGGTTACCAGCAGACTAATGAGGCTAAAGTTTGGCTTCATTCAGACCCCATCAGCAGGATCAACATTTCTAAGCAGGTAGGTAAAACACGCTTATTTTTTCCTTCAGTGTAGTAAGATTTTTTTTTTTTAATTTGAACCCCTTTAAAAGTTGGTTATTCCTAACATAGCTACTTACATCTGCTGTAAACAATTAAAGGATTGTTCATATATATATATATATATATATATATATATATATATATATATATATATATATATATACACACGATGTAATTTCTGGCATAAAGTTGGTGCTTTGTCCATAATTTCAACAAGACCTACTAAAGTCAATACAACCCCCAAAATAGTATTCGGCATGCCAACTAAGTCATCAAGTGCTATCACTGAAACATTATTAGTATAATCTAAATTTTTAACACTTATGACATTTGTATAATAATACTTTGAGATCATACCACTATTCTTTCTCTTCATGTTACTGAGTATCATGCTACAAAATCTATAGTCTATCTGTAATCATTTAAAAGCATTATGTAAAAACTGTATTGAATAATTTGACAGCTGTCTGCAGATTTCCAAAACAATCCTAAAATATTTTTATGATAAAAACACTTGATGTTGAGATATATTAAGTACATGATGGCCATGTCTTCTTGTTAAATTACAAGGTTGAATGTTTCTTTTTAACAGAAGAGTTTCTTTTTGGGTTTTTTAATCATTTCACCCAAAGCAAGGCAATAAAGCCACTAAGATTCAAGGGATTACTGAATGTTACAGAATATGAGGAAAAGAAAAGCATTGTTAAGGAGAGAGGACAATAGAACAGGAATTAAGACAGAAGATAATGATTGACATTGCATTTAAATTTTTGAAGATCAAAGTTGACTAGAAAACAAACTGGAGAAGAGTTTCATAAAAAAAGAAATGTGAGAGAAGAAACTGTTAGCATAGAACTTATGGTTATATCTTGCCAATTCAACTGTAAAATGATGAGACCTAGCTGCCAATCTAGTACTGTGCTTAAATTCATAGTCATGGTACTGAAGAGGAATGCTCATCAGAACAATTACCATGAAAATATTTATAGAAAAGGCACAGGGAATCAGTTATGGCAGTGGGGAAAGTGACTAAAGCCAAGATGCCAGGTCAGAATCGATAACATTGCAGATTCTTCTTTGGATTTTATCAAGAATATATAACAGAAGTACCACAGATGAAATGTGACAGTAGTATTCAAAGCTTGGACAAATGATAGATTCTGGCAAGAAAAATTGTCTAACTTGATACAGTGAACTAACTTTCCTAGTAACAGACCTAGCAATTGATTCAATATAATCTTTCCATTTCATATCAGCGGAAAATGTTAGCCCAAAAAGGTGCAATGTGTTGCTCTTCTGGAGGTTTACATCAGCCATGCAAAAAAGGTTCTCTAAGATGATTAAAAGAGAGCTGTTTAGTTTTGGAGATGCTTGCTCCATTTAGTAATATTGTAGGTCATATTTGAGATCAGCTGCCAATTTGACCTTATTAAAATGATCAGACTTACCATTAAAACAGGAGTAAATAGTTGGGTCAAAAGCATAGATACCAAGTTGAGAACTGATGACATTGGGATGCTTTCTTAAAGTGATTTGTGGTTTTGATTCAGTTAAACATGCATCAAATTGCAACTCAAATAGTGTCTCATAGATAAACTGAATTATGATGTGTTTATAATGTTTAATTGACAGATCGATTATTTAAATCTAAGTTGAGGCATCCATATGCCATGAGTTGAATACATGTGGATTGTCTTGATTAGCAATTCAAATTAACTATTACTTTGAGTATGTCTTTAGATAATTCCTGTAATGTCACAATTGAGGTGAGGGTCTGTTATCTTCAGAAGCAGGTCGGGTTACTGGTGGAGTGAGTATGATGTTTAAAACGGCAAACTCACAATGAAACTTGCACACATTACTGAAGACTCGCCTTAATACATCTCTTTGATATATTTATTGATTCATAACTCTGAAAATGAACATGACTTCTGGGAACAGTTCAGACGACAACCCTAAAAGAGACCTGGTGACTATTGCAGATAGCAGTGGCAGTCAGAATGACAGCAAACCAGGTTAGCACCTCTACTTGCATACTCAACCCACCAAAGCTGCAAGCAATCTTAATGCATCATACACTCAGGGATTCCTAAGAGGTGTGGGGCAGAGGGAAGAGATCTCCAATAGGAGAGATATAATGGAAACAGCTGGAAATACCCAAATGATCGTGAGGAGATGCATTTGTCATAAAATATGTAAAAATCTGTGCAGGTTAAAAATCTACCATAGCTGGAGGGAAATGCCTGGCAAAGGAAGCTTTGTAGCAATATACAGGCATAAGCACTGGTAAAATGGAGGAGGTGCAGATCCAGTAATCGGCCCCTTCCAACAGGGCCCAGTCCCTCCAAGCAAATAAAATTACAGATTACAATAGGGAGAATGGTAGAAATTCAATAGTAACATCTACCAGATATTGCATTCAGCCTCAAGAGAAGACCTGGACAAGCATTTGAAAGCCATGACAGTTATCATTGTTAATATAGAATGAGAAAAAATCCAATATATTGAGACATATCAGTCTAGAAAACCCCGCAGTGAGAACAAGTGATCTAACAAAATAAGAGTTAAGACAAGATCGTAGATACCTGAAAAAACAGTGAAGCAGGAATACCAACCATAAGCTGAACTACCAGATTTACTGAGAGGAAAATTACATGTATACACACACACACACACACACACATATATATCAAGAACCAGTTCTGGGGGAAATATGTTTTTTTTTTTTTCTTTTTCTTTAAGCGTTTCACCCCAAGCAAGGTGGGAAGCCACTGGGACGCAAGGGGTTACAGAAAATTTGAAGCAAGATCAGATAGGAGTGATAGAAGAAAGGATGAGGAGAAGGGTAGTGGATAGATCGAGGCAACTGGAGATGTCGATTGACATTACATTTGAATAGCTGGAGATTATAGCTTTCAGGGAAACTGGAATAGGGAAGGGAGTTCCACAGGTGAGAGGTGCGAGACATGAAGCTATTGGAGTAGAAGAGACAACTACATTTAGGAGTTTCGACAGTGAAGGGGTGAGAGCGGTATGCCAGCCTTGGAGGGCGCTTGAACTCATGAAGTCTGGGAACCAGCGAATGCAGCTCCTCGGAGCAATTGCCATGAAAGTATTTGTAAAACAGACAGAGAGAGGCGACAGAGCGTCTGTGAGAAAGTGACTGTAGACGAGATGCCAGAGCAGGGCCAATTATATTGCAAATCCGCCTAAGTGGAAAAGGTTTTCGTGTGACATGTTTCATCCTTTAGGAATTCATTGGACTAAGTTTGTTGATGTGGCTACACATTGCACACAAATGACAGACACTGGGAATTTTAAATTTAAAAATATTTTTTTTAATTTTTTTTAATGCTTTTTGGGTATATATTCTAGCCAAATCTAAATGATATATGCAATGTAAAATTGTCATTGATGTCAACACCAAGTGGTTACAACCCAAATAAGAAAAATATTCTCTCTTTGACATATTTTTCATTAATACGATTTTTCAAATATTCAAGCCATAGATGAAAATAAATAATGTAAATAAATGTACTGTTTAATAAATCAATGGAGCATTTACTCAAATATGGGTATCCACTAAAAAGTAACATTTAAGTGATAAAATCTTTCAGATTAATGATATATATATATATATATATATATATATATATATATATATATATATATGCATATTCTAATCTACTTGATAAAAACCAGTCCAGTTTGCAGATTTGTATATGAATTCTTATTTGTTTTATATTTGCTTTATCTCATTGCCTTGAATTTGAATAATTGGTTATAATCTACAATTTTTTTTCTCTCTGTCCTTTTTAGATTGAGCACTTGGTCGACCAAATCCAAAGAATTGCTCAGCAGTTGAATGTTTCTGTGCAGGAACCCGGCCATTCTCAACCTCTCCCACCGTCGTCATCACAAAGATTCCTGCGCAAGACTCTCCTACCAACTATTGTCTTTGCTAACCACGAGAACAAATTCACCAATATGTAAGTCTGCTTTGAAATTTATCAGATGTTTATATGCTTCTTCGTGGTTAGCTATGTACTTATGGTCTTAATCCCCCCAATCACTTTAGCAATCAAAACTTCTCACAATCCTATTTATGATTCTCTTGGAATGGGGTAAACTTTAAACCTGCCATTTATTGACAGTATGACTCCAAGTTAAATTTTCTTATAAATTTTAAATATTCTTATTGCAACCAGTAGAACTAGAACAGTCTACCCCAGTAAGTGAAATAAAGGGTTCAGTTCAACATTTCAACCACCCGAAGAAGGCCAGAGCGTACAACGGCCAAAACGTTGTAATAAATATGGCGACAAAGATGAGGACAATAGTCCGAATAATGTACATAATACCTCATCTCAGAAATATAGACAGATACTCATATAACTTCATTATGAAGTGCAAAATTTATTTAAGTCAATGTTTAAATGGATGAAGTTGTAATGGATTTATATACCTTGAAAAACAATAAATTAAAATCATAAGACATTTTTAAGATTATCCTTAATAGTTTGGACTATAATTTATTACATTGTTACTTGTTGAAAGTTTTTTGTTTGTTTTTTTGTTTTTTTTTTTTTCATTAAAGGGAATAATGCTAGCACAATTTTTATGCAAAAATTTCAGATTGAGTAAATACAAGAATGAAAATAGAAAGCAGTTTACATTTACAACTGTTTAGTAACCTATATTTACTGTTCAGACTTTGTGTTATAGTTTGTTTGCTCCAACAAGTCAGGCTAAATTCAATGTCAAGTTGGCCTCATTACTAGTGCTGACGTCCTAGATCTAACATTTGTGGTTTTAACCATTTACTTCACCATCATAATTTAACCATTAACTTTGTCTCTCTTATATCATTGATCAAGAACCGAAGACACCTATTGTTTGTAAATAAGACTAATAAAAGAAAAATTGTCCACTCATTGTTTTTCTCTCTCTTTGCAGTTATTATAACAGTATGTTTGATATTGGTCAACTTATAGGAGTTGATTACCCATCTTCTGGTGATCCAGATGACATCCCCATTACAGATCAAGCCCTCTTACTCACAAATATTTCCACGATCCTGGCTCGTACACTTTACCAATTGGCTACCAATAAAAGTGGGTCACATATACAGGCCAACAGCACTACAGTAAGTTTATAGGTTGATTGAATTTCCATTGGGAATCAAGTTGCTTTACAATCTCTCAAATTTGTTATTTATTTCCTGTTTAATATTTTATTGATCTCTTATATCTGTTTAATTGGCAACGATTGCTTACTTTTATAATAATGCAAAAAAAAAAACACTTAAATTTAATACATACATAAAGTTAGCTTTTATTTAGCCTGTGATATCACACGTAGTATTTATGAAACAACTGAAAACTCTGATTCAATAATTACATCTATAGTGAGTGACAACAAATATTGAGGGTGATAAATTATTTTCCACCTTACAAACCCCTCCCCCCAAACAAAACTTTACTAGCTTCTCACTACTTTCATGGTAAACTATGTTCCTTAGTTCCACCAATTCCGACATTCACAGCAAGGATCCACCATGCCACGTAGACTCAACCTCATTCCCTTCATGTTCCATTGATAAAGAAAAAGTTGCACTCAGACCACTTCTTTCATGGAACAGGCTCCTGAAGGGATGCTTCCCCAGTCACTATGTTCTTAACTTCTTCATCTACAGTCAACAATCTTACATATCCTAATAATATGTGCTTCTTTATTCCCTGCTTTACACCCTTACAACAACCTCATTCAGTGACTCTTTACCTTAAGTGGCTCTTGGGCCTTGCATTGGGTGAGCAATAGTACAAAAAGGAAGGAAAATAAAATAATCGTTATATTTTAGCAGCAACATTTGACACCTGTTTGTTAGTGTGTTACTAAGATGCCAAAGTTTGTGTGAACAAAAAATATATATATTCTGTGTGTTTAAGCAGCAAATGTTATTAAAGGTGGTAGACGTATTGTCGATTAACTTTATTGATTAACTTTTCTAAATTACAAATAATCTTTAGATAAGAAAGAAATTCCATCATAAATTATTCAGAGTTCATTTTGGAAGAAATATGATCCATGCTTTTGACTTAAGTCATCATCTGGGTAGGTAGAACCAAATGGTTAGTTTTATAGAACTAGTGAGTGTAGTGATGGAGGAAAAGGTGTGATGAGTACAAATTTTACAAAAAAGGTTTGCACAAAAATTTCCTTTCATGCAACTTATTAAGGACAAGGCAAGGTAACATAACAAAACCATAGAATTGGCTCTAAAAAAAGATTATCAATACAATTTTTTTCAAATCATGAAAGAAAAAAATAAGAAATTACTCTTAGAAAAAAGAGTGCACCCACCTAATAGATAAGTGGAAAAACCTAAGTGCTTTTTCGACAAGAATCCCAAGGATATAACCCACCTTGCAATTCTTGTTAATCTTTTGCAATTTCTTTGTTTTTAAAATTTTCCCCTTCATGCTAGGCCGAAGGGTGCCCTATGTCCTTTTTTGTCAGCATAGTTTTTAAGAATTCTAAGACCTTTTTTTCCCTTTGCTTGAGAAAACTTTTCTTCCCATCAACAGCTAGATTCATATCTGAGGTTCAAGTCACTTTACTGTCTCCCTTCTACCAGCTGACCTTGGTCACTTGACACATTTAATCCTTTCTGTATAACGTATCACTTATTTGTGCCGCAGCCAGCAGGCTTCTTCCCTTCAGCCATCTAACTATATTATGTCTGTTTATCTGCTGACTCTTCTTAAAAATCCTTGAGGGTGGATCAATGAGCTTATTATTTTTAATTATTTTATACTACCAGGTCTGTGGAGCTAGAATCAGAAGCAATTAAGTGGTCTCTGAAGTTGGAGTCTGTTTAACTATACCGACTCCAACTCCAGTTGAATTTACACTTTATTTAAAAAGTCTTACATTATAGAATTTTTATTTTTATTTCTTCTTCTGTATATTTACTATTTCCTTTAAGGAAATTTGTCTCAACTTCTTTTATAAAGTCATTTTATTTTTTTTGTAGTATTTTGTATTTGCAAAACTATATATGTAAAAACTTACATTTTAGAATTTTTATTTTTGTTATGTCTTTTTGTTATGATGTTGATTTGGGGTTAGTAGAGACAAACGCCAAATAACACGTAACAATAAAAAGGGTTTTAATAGGTTGGTAAAAAGGTACAGAAATCGCCGGAGTAGTCAATAACTAGCTCAGCTAAGAACTTTTCTGTCTATCTGTCTTCTATGTCAACTGACATGCCACTATTTAAAGTCTTTGTTCGCAGACAAGTTCATGTTCAAGAGGGGTGGTAGGTTTCCGACACAACACCTCCCCCTTGAGATTAATTCCGGAGGAATTAATATCTTTTTCTTTTGGGATCTGGACTTAAACGTTCCACCCTAGTTCTTTTTCTTTTGCTTGTCCTTCTTTGGACATCTGTTTCATGCAATGGTGGAGTTGGTATATCGAATAAATCATATAATACCTCCATTGGTTCTTCATTTTCTTTACTTATTTCTTCAATGATTCTTTTCCTTAATTGGTTCAAATATCTTTTGTGCATCCATTTTTTAAATTCTTATGTATAACATCTTACCAATTCTTTGAGTTACCACTCCATCTTGCCAAAATTCCTTCCCATTTTTGTAATTTTTTAAAAAAAACTATCTCCCGGCCTGAGATATTTCATATTTTCCTGATGCGTTTTGTTCTGGTAACTCTTTTTTCTTTCCGGCAGCAGCCTATTGAATACAGATCTAATTTTTCTAGCAAACACCAGTTCAGCTGAAGACATCCCTGATATTGCATTTGGATTTGGTGTCATTCTGTATATACTTAAAAGCTGCTGTATATTACCATCATCTGTATTAGTACCATTTGTTTTTTTAAGGGCTCTCTTGAACGTATCAACAAACCGTTCAGCCTGTCCATTTGACCTAGGATGGTACGGTGAAGTCGTGATGTGGTCAATTCCCAGAGTCTTACAAAATGTCTTAAATTCACTTCCTGTGAATTGAGTTCCATTGTCGGTGACAATTTTTTCTGGTACTCCAAAATGTGCAAACAGTTCTGTAAGAAAATCTTTTGTTACAGAAGCAGTTGGTCTTTTGCACTTAAAAATTTCAGGCCACTTCGAATAGCTATCCACAACTATCAAGTAGAAATTACCATTCATGGGTCCAGCATAATCTATGTGGAGTCTGGTCCATGGAACATGTTTTTGGCCATGGTGTGTATTTTACTGGCGGTGCTTTCACTGCCATTTGACACCCTCTACAAGTTTTAACTACCTGTTCAATGTCTTTGTCCATATTTGGCCAATAAATGTAACTCCTCATCAGGGCTTTCATACGTCCAATACCAGGATGCCCCTGATGAAATTCCTTCAAAATCCGCTTTTGTAGTACAACCGGTATCACAACCCTTCCAGCATATAACAGCACTTCATCACATATTGAATATGCTGGTGAAGAAGTTTTATACTTTTCTGAAGTTACAACTTCTTTCATTTTTCTAATAAAAATGTCGTTTTCTGCTATTAATTTTATTTCATCTAATGTCACCGGTAATTCTTTTACTGTGTTATACATTACTTCAACCAATTCATTTTCTACTTGTAACGACGCTATCACCGTATCTTCTAGCGGTTCCGAAGACGTTGGGATCAGTCAAGATGAACCATCAGCATGGCTTAATTTTTTAGATGATAAAAATTCCATTTTGAAATTGTAATTCAACAAAATGATTCCCAATCGTTGCAAACGGTTTGCCGTATGAGTAGGTATACCCTTCTTCAACCATAGATTGAAAGCAGCAGGCGATGGTCGGTCTGCAATATAAACCTTCTTCCATGTATGTACTTATGGAATTTTTTACAAGCATAGATGATAGCTAAGCTTTCTTTCTCAATTTGAGAGTACTTCTTTTCTGCGGGTAATAATGTCCTTGATGCATGTGCCACTGGCTTTGTATTGCCGTCTCTGAATTTATGCAAAATTACCGCACCTATTCCAGACTCGCTTGTGTCCGATGCCACTATAATTTCCTGTTTAGGGTCATAATGTGTTAGTGATAATTCCGAAGTCAAAATATTCTTTATTTTGTCAAACGCCTTCTGTCACACTTCTGACCATTCCCACTTTGCTCCCTTTTTAAGCAATTTATTTAATGGAGCCGTAAGGCTGCACAAATTAGGAATATATATCCCATAATAGTTAGCAAGTCCTAAGAACGCTTGTAAGCGTAACTACATTTTTGGAGTTGGCATGCTTTTGATCGCTTCTGCCCTCGCCGGATCTGGTCTTCTTCCATCAGAGTCTATTATCTGCCCCAAAAACTTAATTTCACTAATAAAAAATTCACATTTTTCAGCTCCAAGTTTGAATCCATATTCTTCAATTTTTTCAAAAACCTGATTAATATGTTCCAAATATTCATTTCCATCTTTACTTTTTATCAAAATATCATCAAGATATGCAATGGCAAAGTCCAACCCTGCCAGCACAGTGTCCATAATTTGCTGAAAAATACTAGGGGATACTTTTAAACCAAAAGGCAGACGGTTTAATTTGTATAAACCCTTGTGTGTATTGATAGTCAACAGTTTAGAACATTCTTTGTCCACTTTCACTTGGAGGTAGGCATCCGATAAATCCAATTTAGAGAATATTTTTCCTCCATTTAAACTTGCAAAAATGTCTTCTGGTGAAGGCAAAGGATATGTGTGGTCTTTTAAGCAGTCATTTAGACTTAAATTTTTTTCTTTTGCTTTTACAATGAGTACTTATATGGCCTTTATTGCCACACGAATAGCAATTTTTGTCGCGAAAAAAACATTCACTTTTAAAATGACCACCACCGCATCCAAAGCACATTGGTTTTTTAATGTTTTTATTAACTATTCCCGTTTTTGGTCAAATAGCATGGACACGGGATACGTCTTTTTCTTCAATTTGCGTATTGTCATGTTTTAAGCTTTCAATTCTTTGACACTCTTCTGTAACCTTCTGCAAAGTGATCTCGGAATTTTGTTTGAGTTTTGCCAATATTCGGGACCTTATGTCCTTATCTTTGCTAGAAGTCAAGCCTTGGACAAATATCAAACATTTAAATCGATCAATTGAAAGATCATGTAACAAAACGTTCACACATTCTGTTAACATTTCCAGCATACGTAACAACATCCTCATCGTCACGCTTTACCATATTCAAACATGAGAAACGAGTATGAAACAAACTAACTCGCTCGCCAAAAATACTAGATAAAGTATTAACAGTTTCTTCAAAAGAAATGTCACCAGTTTTTCTTGGAAGGACAAAATTCGTATACTTATTTTCTTCTGTACCCAACTTTTGTAAAAGTAAACTCACTTTTTGTTCATCAGTCCAACCTTCACATTTTTTTTCAAATATTGTTTCAAATCTTCTGAAATATGCAGGAAATGTTATGCCCTCCTCTGGGTTAAATTTGAACTCAGTAATAGAATTAGCAATACCTTCGGCCGTGAATGACGAATTTACTGGATTCTTAAGTAAAATCGCTATATATAAAGCCTTTGTTTTGTTCGCTGCTGAACTTGTAAATCCAATAGTTGTCCCCGAAACAATTTTTGTTGCTCTTGTTGCTGAATTTGACTTTGCACTAGAGTTTTCGTTAATGCAATCAAATCTTCCATTATGCCTAATAGATTACACAAAACACTTTTCGAAAACAGACAAAAAGAGAAAAACACGTATATATCCACAATAAGCACAAGTCTTCTTTTTGGCACGTTGAAATCCCATTTCTTCGTGAAGAACAAAGTTCGATGTATTTTGTTTTTTTGTTTTTTTTCAGAGCAAGAAAAAAAAAATTTATATAGTCCACCTAGAGTTGAAAAAAACTCAGCGTGATGAACGAATCTCTCGTCGCCACTGTTATGATGTTGATTTGGGGTTAGTAGAGACAAATGCCAAATAACACGTAACAATAAAAAGGGTTTTAATAGGTTGGTAAAAAGGTACAGAAATCACCTGAGTAGTCAATAACTAGCTCAGCCATGAACTTCTCTGTCTATCGGTCTTCCCTATGTCAACTGACATGCCACTATTTAAAGTCTTTGTTCACAGACGCAGATAAGTTAATCTTCATGAGGGGTGGTAGGTTTCCGACACAACACTTTTACATCCTGTAAAAGATTATATTTCAACTTCTGTTATAAAGTAGTTTTATTTTTGTTCTGTACTTATTATTTGCAAAGATATATATATATATATATATATATATATATATATATATATATATATATATATATATATATAGTCTTTTTATAGCATTTTTATTGTTGTTTCTTCTACATCTTTTCAAAGATTTTGTGTTTAATTCTGTTAGAAAATATTGAAGGATGAATAGGTATGATATAAAAACCACAATATCTTTATTCTTTGATATAAATCAGTCATAATGACATAAGCCTACTCAAGTTAGGAGCATATGTGTAGGCTTTATGAGATTTGTAGGCCATAATCACTTAATTACATAAAGAGGAGTTGGAGCTGCTAAAAATAGGAGTAAATCAAAGGTTTTGTGTTCTGACTCCAGAGCCCTGTATACTATTAACTAATAATTTTTTTTATAATGTCTGTTGCCTTCAATAATAAATACATGATAAAAATATAGTTTTAAGTTATGCTATATTTATGGTTAAAAGTGCTCAATATCAGAGATAAAGGGTATGTAAATATGAAAGTGGACACTAAGCAAGCAAGCACCGGCAATCTGTTCCATGCAATCTTCAGGCCATATATATATATATATATATATATATATATATATATATATATATATATAACAGAAAATTCCAATTTTTTTTCTGGATAACAACAGGGCTCAAGATTAATGTCCCATTGATGATAGAACATTAGTTTTAGATGACTGGTTAAGTCTTTGGGGGTGATTCTGGAGTGACAGAAAATTTTAAATTAAGATTGATCATGAGTTTGAGATGACAGTTTTTTTTTTGTTTTTGTTTTTTGGGGACACAAAATTAATTAAGATTCATTCTAAAAGCAACTTATTTCTTGAAATAAAAAAAAATTCTTACTTCTCCCCAATAGTAAATGGAGCTGACACATAACAAAATAAAGAAAAGAAAAACTTAAGCATTTTTTAAATCTGGTGAATGAAACTCAAATGAAAAGTAAAGTTGAAGGATTAGATTTAAATATTTGCATTATTTATTTCTAAATGTGAAAAACATTTGAACTGAATTGTAAGAAATAATTATTATGCTTTAATAAACAAAGCCAGAATTTTTTTATTTTGTTTTCTGTCAATCTTCATTTAAAAGATTTGGACAAAGCATTAGCAAACAACATTTGTGTGTTTTCTGCTTATCATAAACCAAATCAAAAATATAAGAAAGAAATTTACAAAATAATCACATGGAAAATTTTGTCATGACACGAGGCAGGTAATTGTGAATGAGAACTTTTGGATAAAGACTTTAAATTAAAAAGTCGATAAAAATTAATAAAATTAGTCCACATGATTTAAACAAAATGTTTAAATAAAGTTGTGATTTTTATAAAAATTACAGTAAAATTGAACTAATTTGTTTTTGTGTTTATTTATTTTTTAAATGTAATATTTTAGCCTTTCTTTTTTTTTTTTTTTTTTTTTTCCTAAACATTCTAATGAAGCTTTTATTATACCCCTAACCGCTATAAATGATAGCAAAAATTTTTTTTAAAAATTGATTTCAGGACAATTTAAAATTTGAGTTAAGGGGATGGTTAAAGTTGTTTTTTTTTTTTTTTTAAGACATTTCCAAAATGATGTTGAAAAAAAATTAGTCTAGAGCCCGGAATAACAAAATCTCAAGTAATAATGTAGTTTATATACGATTAACCTTGGAGGTCACTCAAGATCATCAAAGATCACAGCATGCCATTTCTAAACAAATAAAGCAATTTCTTGCAAAATAGACATATAAAAATAAGTAGATTTTTCTATTATTATATGTATTGCAACCAAACAATTACCTATTACCCACAAGATGTGGAGCTAGATAGTGCTGAGGTCATTGGAGGTCACCAGGTGTTAATTTTTAGATTAAAATAACATTTTTTTAAATGAAACAAAAAAAAGAAACCTTTAAAAACAGCTTTATTTAAAAATATATAAACAAACATACAATCCTGAAAATGAAATCAGACAAAAAAAAAAAATAAAAATAATTCAGGATTACAATGTTACAATTTTTTGGAAAGCCATGAAAGAAGATTCTTATAATGTCTTGTCTTATAGACAGAAAAAACAGCACATGTATTCATGTACTGTTTTTTTCTGTCTATTACTATGATGTATTATATTCAAGATATTTAGTGATAGAATGCAGGTAGCATTGGGTTCATGCTTTTCTAAACTATCAGCTTATGGTCATATCAAGTTGAAATACTGGTTCCCGTATGATCACCAAAGTTAAGCAATGTTGAGTCTGGTCAGTACCTACATAAGTGCCTACTTGGGAATATCAGGTGCTGTAAGTTTGGATGTGTGGCTGTGTAATGGATAATACCTCAGAATTGTTAATTGGGGTGCCGAGTTTGAATTCCAGTTGTGCTCATTACATTCACTTATGTGCAAATACCCTTGGAAATGTATGAATCCACCTTTTCTACCTCCACCTATGTGTTAATTAGTAAGACTTGTATCACTAAAACATTATTATATTCCCAAAAAAGAAAATTCTTACAATCTAAAAATATTTTATGGCTTTAAATAACCTGCAAAGAGTTGATTAACCGTAGAAAATGAATCAATCCAAGCTATATTTTGGAGAAAAAAAAGTTTAGCTAATTCAACAGTAAGATAACAAGACCAAGTTGATAATCTAGTGGTACACTTAAATTGATGCAGACAAGGAACCCAAGAAAAGAGACCATTAGAACAATTTCCCTGAAAATTTATAGAAAAGACACCAAGTCACAACAGTAAGAACATGACTGAAGTCGAGATGCCTGGTCAGGGCTGATAACATTACAGACCCTTTTTTGGATAATAGTGAAAATGTCAGCTCAATCATTTGTAGAAATATTGAAGTAACTGACTGAGCAAATGCTGACTTGATATAAATTTAATGTCTGTATACAACCATTAATATGATTTTCTATTGTGTTTTGCATTTTAGGTCAGCCATTTATTGTATTGCTATATCCTCAACAGTAACTGCCCAATGTTTCATATGATTTTAAGAGAAGAAATTAGTCATAAGTTTCGTAAGTATTTGGTTTTATTTCTTTTTTGTTTTGTTTTCACAATAAATCACAAAGTATATTTTTCAAAATGTCTTATATGACCACTTAGAACACTGTGCAAACTGTTTTCTTTCCTTTAAGAGTTGCCTGTCTGTCTTCATTTAAATGGAATACAAAAACATGCATTCCTGACTTTGTTGTTGTTCTTCTCTTCAAAAAGACAAAATGTAAAAAACAGCAGTGTTTGTTTCAATAAAACTGTACCATGATTGACAGATATTGTGATACATTTAAGTTTTGGGATATGCTAATTCATAATTTAGTTGCATTTGGGCTTTCAAATGTAGCCAATCTGCCAATTCTGTTATATAATAATAATCATAATAGATCAAATAGTTTCATCCTGGGTCTGACGATAAACTACATCTGGCAGTGAAGATGTAAAAAATAGGTTTTAATACCGGCAATACATTTTTGAAAAAAAATATCACCAGCAATGAAAATCTTGTCTGTATTAAATTAACCCATTGAGGTTAATATGTCGTAAAACAAAACAAACCAGAAAATAATGTTTAAATTTCTTAAATGAAACCTTGTCAATTCTCATTAATTTTCAACTAGTATTTTTCATTTTGTTGCTCTTGGTCACAACTCCCTAAATCTACATTCTAAAATTATTAAATGACCAGTACAGATCAGAAACAACTGTCTGCTTTGACCACTCCGTAGTTAAGCGGTCAAAGTTCACTGGCTCAGACAGTGATTTCTCCTGTAAAGGGGAACACAAGTTCAAATCCTACTGGAGGGCACATTTTCTTTTATTAAGTTTTCTCTAGTACACAGGCCATTAAATGAAATAAACACTATATTTAAAAAAAAAAAAAAAAAAAAAAAAGTGGAATCTCTACTCAAATACAGGTATTCACTAAAAAATAAACTATGATAGGAAAAAATTGCTATTATTTTTAATTTTTTAAGTTTTTTTAAATTTTTTTTAAGGCTGATTTGTTAAATAACAAATCAGCTTTAAAAAATTAAAAATAATAGCAATGTTTTCCTACCATAGTTTTACACAGACCCCACCACACATATATACGTGCATGTGAGGAAATATTATTCAGCGAAAAAATAGAGAAATGGTGTGATTGTTGATATGGCTATATTCAAAAGAAAAATGGATACATATCCCATGATTGAAATTCAACAATCAAATGTGTATGTATGTAGACAACAGCTCACAGTGAGCAAGTGCATGTGTATGTGTGTCTGCGTACCTCAGTGTACGGGCATGCATGTATGTTTGTTGAATGAAAAAATTAATCAGTTTGTCTGATGATTGCAAAGGCGTGAAACCCAGGGTCACAAACTCACATCAATCCAACTAAATATATATATATATATATATATATATATATATATATATATAAAAATCTGGTGGGAGCACCAGTTTAGTTACCAATGACTCAACCATGTGACAGGTAGTACTGAGTTACATTGTACCAGTAGCACTTGTATAATGAAATAATCTATTCTGATATTGTTTGAAGGCTTGTTTTTGAATCAATTCAATTTACTTCTTTGGTAATAGAAAATTTTCATTTGTATTTCAGACAAAATTCCAGAGATGAATTTGTATGTGAGTGTCAAGAACAACAACAATCCTCTGACATACATCACTGAGAGGATGCTTGCTTATTTTCTAGGGGATAAACTTGAAAATGTCTCCAAGAGTGATTGTAAAACAATGACGAATGGGGTAAGCTTCTTCAAATTTATCTCATTTTTGTCTCCTTGACAAGTAGATTCAGAATTTTAGCATAACACTTCTTGGAGATTCTCAGATTTCTTGATCATTAACACAAGTTAATTGGACAGGCATTCACCATTATATAGAGTGCGATGGGTAAATTGTCGCCATTTTATATTTTTTGTTTGTTTTTGATTGTCAACTGCACAGTATAGTAGGGTCAGTTGGGCACCATCTGTGAGGAAAAAAGCACCATGACAAAATTCACTCTACCAGAAATTTGGAAACAGCTTGCTCTACTGCTTGGCATTCGCACCAAAAGCTCCAATACAAACATTTCAGTGTGTTTGGGTGTCAATCTGAAGACAATGTAGAGGATTTGGAAAGAGTTGGATGATATATCCATTCAGCATGATGGTGTTTGGAGTGATCACTGGTGATGGTGATGTTAAGCCTCCATTCATCTTCGTACAGGGACTCAGACTCAACACAGAAGTCTATATCAAGTGCCTTGAGGAGGTAGTGCTGTTCTGGGTCAAGAGGGTGGCTACTGGAAGACCCTATGTCTGGCAACAGGACTCTGCATCATACCACACAAGCAGGAGAACCCAGTCATGGCTGTCAGACAATTTCTATGACCCCAACATCCTTTACATCTGGCCACCCAACTCCCCAGACTGCAACACCCTTGATTACTGTGTGTGTGGCGCAGTTAAACGAGAGAACAACAAAACTCCTTGTAACATCAAAGATGAACTGAAGGCAATGATTATGGCAGCATTTACCAACTTAAACAAGGAGACTGTCCAGAAGATTTGCAGGAGATTCCAAAGTTGTATGGAGGCCATAGTGGAAGCAAATGGTAATTTTATTGAATGGATTTACTCTTTTGTATTTCAAGATATTTTTATGTAATTTTGGTAAATATATCTGTTAAAATGAGATGTCAGTGTTGTTTTCATTTTTGCGTAATTTAGATGACAATTTATCCATCGCACCCCGTACATTGATTTGGTACTATTGCATGGCGTTCTATACTCCAGGCCAAGTCATGACGCAACTGAGAGCCAGAACTGGAGGCCTATTGAAAAATGTAGGATTTTCAGAAATTTTAGAAGAAAATGAAGTCAACCACTTTATGAAATACTTAGAATAACATTTTTATTCACACCTGAGGATAATAGGATGTGTTGAAAGATAAATAAATGAAAATATGTATTTTTGCTATGAACACTGATAATTATTAAACAACACAAAGGGGTAATTATGATTTCTGGTAAAAGATATATTGAATCAGAAATTTATATTATTTACAGGTGTCACTGAATCCTTTATTCAATCTATTCCCTGTGAGTGAATAAAGACTTTGGTTTAAATTTACATTACAGTTACTGGGTTTGACAAACAGAACGCAAGAAGGCTGGAAGACATCAGCCGAAGTGTGTATATAACAATCAATCATCGACAAATAAAGCAAAATCATTCTAGGAAAGTTTCAAAACTTTTAGAGCTGGTTCTTTTTCTGATCTAGGTGTGCCATGTTTGCAAAAATTTTTCAAAACTATATTTGCAAAAATAGAAGCATGCTTTTTCTCCATGTTGAAAAAATTAAACTCAGAAATAAGCATAAAAATGTTACTTAATGATTTATAGCAAACCTTTTCCTTTATTGTATGGAAAAGGATGAAACAAAAAAATAACCATTGACAAGTGTGGTCAGAAGGAACTTTTAGTTTTCCACGGTCAATTAAATTGGTATATTTTCCATACTTTTCATAATAAAAATGAGTTTCACATTCACTGGGTTGATTATCATTTCTTGTAATATATCCAGCTATGTACACAAGAGCCATTTTTATTTCATTGGAAAGAGAAGGTTCTAAATTTTCCAAATTGTCAAATATTTCTGAACCTTCCTCACAAAGTTTATAATCACAAGATGTACATTGGTGACCTGGATTAACATCAAATTCATCAATATTTACATTTTGATTTAAAAGATGTCTGCTTAATATGCAGCTTTTCAATACATTGTTGAACATTTATAAAATAGGTGCCAATTCTTTTTCTAATGGATCAGTTGAAAATTGCCCAAGTAGTACATATTTATGACTTGTAGCTAAAAGGTGTCGACATAGACTAACAATTCCATTGCAAATATGATGTATGGCAGTAGCAGTGTTTTGGGATAATTGTTTTTTACAATTACTTTGACTGCCAGCCATATTAAGAGCTATTTTACCAAATTCAATGATAAAATCAAGTCAGGTGTCATTTGGAGATTTGATTTCAGCTTATAGAGGATCATTATGTAATTTATCAATTTGAAGGCATTTAACATTTAAAATTTTCCACCATGTCAAAACCCTGTTTATGAAAGGGCAGTATCATTCTTACCTGCACTTATTTCAGACTGAGTGAGAAGTGCATTATATGTTTTTTCAGAAAACACTCAGAGGCAAGTAGAAACCCGTTGTCTTTCTATTGGCTTTGGAGCAATGGAAATTTCATTTAAATCTGAAAGTTTGACTAGTCTTTCAGATTCAAAACGATATAACTGTTTAAGATGTCTCCGTTTTGCAACTCAACTTACTCCATCATCATCAAAGATTAGTTCACCTGTTTTTTCTGTCAGCCACAAATTGCGAATATTTTTCAACAGATTAACATAATCAAAAAGCAAATGTTTATTATCTTCAGTTAACCAAGGTTTTCAGGACGTGTAGGATATAATTTAAAAAAAGCTTGATTTATGCGGTTGCCATCACATATAATAGCCTTTACATCAGCTGGTACAGATGTGATGGCTTGGACTGTTAACTCAATTTGTTCAAATAAAAAGGCAGATGTTAATTTTGAAATTGGAATCAATTTTGTAAGAAAATTTGGACCCCCATTGAGACATATCAACATTATACCAAGTACTGTTTGAGCAAGTACAGATGGATTGTCAACTGATTTACCAAATAGTTGTTTACCATGATATAGCAACATCTTTTTGATATATACTTCATCATGGAGAATTATGCACCCTTTTTGACTGGTATTAAGAGTATTAAATATAGATAACAAGATAACAACGAGTCTAGTTATCTATATTTATAAATAGGAATATACATAACTTTTTTTTTTACCTTAAAGCAAATCAATTAAAAGTAAAGTAAAAATAATGCATTTTGTCCTTTAACAACAATATCAGAAAAATATTAAAATAAATATGATAAATAATGGTATTATTATTATACTTGTCTTGTAAAATAAATTTTGTTGTCAAAAGGCGTAAAAAAGGAGACCTTTCTAAAAAAATAATAATAATTAAAATATTGACATTAACTGCATGTAATAAATTTATTATTGTTATTTTTTTCTTTAATTCGAATAAGTAAAAAAATACAGTTCACAATTGGTAACTAATGTAGTAAAAATAATCATTTATTCTTTAACTTCGGAAACAAAAGTCCAAAGAAATTCGTTTGTTTTGGTTTTTTTTTTACTTTTTTTAATGGAAATGTTGGATAAAATTTTAATAGAAAAATGTTGACTTATGCTAATTTTTTATCATGGTTAAAAACTTGAGAAAATTAAACTTTAATTTCGTTGACGTTATGTTTTCACTCATGCTAACAATGTTTTTTTTAGTGATATCAAAAATAAATATCAAATTAAGTAATGACATTGAATTTATGAAAAAAAAAACATTTTTAATTCATTTTATAATAAAAATAGTTTTCTTTACGTCTTTGAAGAAACTAAATTAAATACTGTTCAAATTTGTTAAACGTTGTTTTGTTTTGCTTCTTAAAATAACACAAATTTCTCAAAAAGAATTGCATTTTATCAATAAATAATTTAAACTTTAATCAAAAAATGTTGAACAAACTTTAAGAGGGAAAATGCCAAAAATGAATTAAACTTTAATTTAAAAATGTTAGGGCTTTTTAAACTTAAGTAAATCTTTTTGTGTGAGTAAATTTAAGCACCAAAGTTTACTTTTTACAATTTAAATATAAATAATGTATGGACTCAAACTAAAATAATCAAATATACTTACTTCAAATAAATAAGTTAAATGATATTCCAACCAAAGGTAAAATTAAAAGATTCCTTTGAATTTCTCGAGCCAACAACATAAGAGTACACAGTACGCAGCAGTTCGCTCAAACAAGCTGAAACTAAAACAATCTAATTGTCAGCCGGCCTCCAGTCTAATGAGGTAGCAGCGCTACACAGTGGCCTGTTAATATAGAACGCCATGTACTACTGTAAGATTTGTTCTGCCAAAAGGTGTATGCTCTACCTTACTAAAGCTATGCCTGCAAAGTAGACAGTCAAAATAATAGTTGTTCTAAATCAGTTGGTAATCAGATGCTGTTAGTGTTACACTATTCCATCTTCATCCAGCACCCCCCCCCATGACTGCCAAAGAAAAGCACAAATAAAACATTTTATTTAATAACAAACTGTAGATTGCATACTATAGTAAAAATGGTGAAGGGATTCCCATTTCCTTTCCTCATCTGTGGCCTGAATAATGCTTTTTTCTTCAGTTATTTTTTTTTTTATTTTTTTATTTTTTTTTTTTTTGTGATATGTGTGGATAGTGGCTCCATCTCTTCATGCTGAAGGTAACAGGTTGGGAGTTTTATAGTTGCTGTTTCCCAACTGGTAGTTAGAAGCTCAAACTCTTGCGTAACATCTTGAGAGGCTGTTCTGATCAACAGTTGCATAATATCGAGGTTTTGCAGTGCCATGTTGCACATAGAAAGGTGTCCTTGCAAGCACCTCCAGTGGCCAACCCCATGGCCACACTGTGTTGCTGTCTGCACCAGTTTCCAGCATGCACATGTTGCATTAGAAAACTGACTGCTACTACTAGTCCACCATTTTCTTACCCACATATCACACCATGATAATAAGCAACCAATGAAATAAAACTAAATCAGATCAACAAAAAATGCCTAAACCCTTCAACCTATCTTTCTCCAACATTTATGATATTCATACCAACTTCTGTAGTGAGGAATTGTTCCTCTTCCAATAATCTCCAGATATCCTAGCTCTCTGTGAAACTAATCTTAACTCTGCATTCCCATCCTCTTAATTCTCGATTCCTAGCTTTCTTCCTCTCTTTAGGGAGGACTCTAATATCCACATGTTGTTTATGTCCACAAACATCTGCTGGCTAGGGAACTTTCTCTTGAATCTCCAGACCATTCTTACATGTGTCTCCATCTCCCTCTACTAAGCTCAATCAGCTATCTCTTCTTTCTCTACCATTTCTCTTCCTCTCATGACTGTTACATGCTAGAAAGTATTTCTGATAATATAGATAAGGCCATCCTCTCTACACCCATTTGCAAATATATTTGTGTTCGGTGATTTTAATGCTCAAATCCATCAGAACTGATCAAGTAAATCTGGCTGTTGCCCTTGAAAAGGACCTCCAATCAGTGGTTAATGGCTTGTAAATTTTAACGCCTCCAAAACAAAACTACTCTCATTTAACCACCATAGAGAAACTTTTCTGCATTCCTTCAGCATGGCAGATGCTTGACTCCTGGAGAGCAACACATTGTGCCTTCTTGGCCTCATGTTTTCAAGTAGAGTGATTATATCAAATCAATAGCTGCATCTACTGCAAAGAAGGTTGGGTCATTGTGTCATGACAGTAAATTTTTCTTGTCAGAATCCATCTTGCACATTTAAAAATCTCCCATTTGTCCATGCATTGAAGACTGCTGTCATATCTGGTCTGGTGCTCCTGCTATTCATCTAGATTATTCATTTAAGTAAAAATTTTCAAGTGTTGACGTAGATTATGCATCCAGATATATTGAACGCCAAAAATTTAAGCAAGCATAATGTTGCCATCTACAACCAAAAGATTGTTGCAGTAAATGGTGCACTATAAATTTTTGCTTAGTTTCTTTTATCTACTATTTTTTATATCATTGAGACTCTTTATTTAGAGGGATTTTTTTTTTTTTTTGTTTCATTTTCAAGCTTGAATATTGTTTTTTTTTTTTTTTAACATGCTAATTTATAGTAAGAATCTACTACAAAAATAGTACATCACCATTTTGAGCATCATTTTAAACTTATTAATGTCTTTTTTGCAGACTAAAAGATCATACTGGATGCAAGGAATTGGTAAACCTCGGCAAGGTTTCTGTTTGGTAGCAGTGACTCGAAACAGTGATGCTGTATCTCCTGCTTTTATTATTGATGGTAATTCTTTTTTCCTTTGAATTTTTTACTTTAACTGAAGACAAATTCGAGTTGGAATATATCCTACATAATCTTTGGTATGTTAACAAAAGTAGGTACCCACAGTTCAAGATCCCCAATTTCTAACTTATACATATTTCTCTCTTTCAAAGATATTACTGTCTTAGAATAAAGCCATTCTTTAGATGCTTGAAGAGCAATAAAATTCACCTTTTTGGTGGTTTAGTGATTTTAAAAAAAAACAACATCCAGGCTAAATTGAAATGTTACTGCAAACTTTAATTTGTTTAAAAAGCTTACTGACATAATTATACCATTGTAGAGTTTTTACACTTCTGTTGCATATTACGCACTAATATAATTGAACTAGTGTTTTCACTTTCATTTTATATTGAGGACACCATTTCACATAAATCAGTTTATAATTCTACTATTGTTCTGTTTGTTTGCAAGTATGGCCATTACACTTGATAAGCATTGTTCAACCAACACCACAGAAGTGTCTGTCAATAGAATGTACAATAATCTTATCTTAATATCACTCCTAGTTTTCCTTTTTAGTCAATCTTATTTTGATTAAATCTTTTAAAAAGTATACCAATTTCTATTGGTAGTAAATGTGATTTTATATAAAAGCAGAAATAAATTTGCAAGAAAAGCAGGTGATAAGCTGCCTTTGATTACATTCATAATTCTTTTGATTTAAAAATTAAAAAAAATCCAACAAAACACCTAACCAAATAATTATTTCTCTTTCACCTCACTTCATTCATTATTTCAGATTTATGAGAATGCAAGGGATACTTTTTTTCTTTTGAAAACTTTCCTTGCAGAATGAAATTTATGTTTGTGTGTGTACATGCATGCATCCATGCATGCCTGATGCTAAACTCCAGGAAAGCAACACACTACACCTTCTTGGCCTCATGTTTTCCACTGACGTGAAGTGGAGTGACTATATCGAATCAATTGCTTTGTCAACTGCAAGGAAAGTTGGTTCATTGTGTTGTGCCAGAAAATTTTTCTTTTCAGAATCCATCTTGCACATTTATAAATCTACCATTTGACCATGTATCGAATACAGTTGTCATATCTGGTCTGGTGCTCCTGCCATACATCTCGCAATTCTTGAGAAAATCCAAAGAAGGGTTTGTAATGTAATCGGTTCTGACCAGACATCTCAATTTCAATCATTTTCTCAGTGACATGGCGTGACTTCCCTCTGTCTTTTCTAGAAATATGGCAACTGCTCTGATAACCTTTTTTTCTCTTGTGTCCAAATTACATGAATTTAAACATGCTACTAGATTGGCCTGTAGGTCCCACTCTTTTACTGTTGAAATAGTTAATAGCAACTGCCACTTCTACTCTAACAGTTTCTTTTCTTGCACTTCCCACCTGTGGAACTCTGTTCCATTTTCTTGCTTCCCTGATAACTACAATCCTCAAAAATTTAAATGCAACATCAATCACCATCTTCTATTTTCTTAAGCCCTGTTCATTTTTTGTCCTTCCCTGTAACCTTCTGCATTATAGTGACATCGCTGCCTTGCTTGAGGTGAAATGATTAAAAAAAGAAATGTGTGCATGTATGTTTGTGCTTATGTGTGTATATATACATATTTTTGTATACACACACACACACACACACACACACACACACATATATATATCAACAAGCAGTATTTAGAAAAATAGTATGACAAATTGGGAAAAAGATTTTGTGATGTGTTTTATCTATTAGGATTTCATCAGACTGGCCTTTGTTGAAAGTATTTTCAATATATTTCTCCTATTCATGTAAATATTGAGGGCTGCAAATTCTGAGTGCTCTTAAATAGAATCCAATGATCATTCCTGAATTTATTTTGTTGTTATGATGGAAATAGAAGTTTATTAGATCATTTTCATTGGTTGATTTTTACAAAATACCCATTCAGTAACCTTCTGCCTTGAGTTGCACTTAGGCCTTGTACTGGGTGAACAGTAGTATAAATATATAAAGTTGGATGAGAATCTGAGGAAATAGTAAATATGTAAGATAATTTGGAAAACTTATAATTTGGCATATTTCGCTGATGAAACAACAGCATTAGAAAAAAAGAACTTTTGTTTCATCAAAAAACTTTTTTCATATGCTGCTTCATTGGAAAAACAAGTCAAAGAAGAAGTTTTTCCAAATTGTGTGATATATATAGATGGCCTGAAGATTGTGTTTAAGCATGAAACAGACTATCGCTAATAGATGTTAACCTCAATGTCCACTTTTATATTTACATATGCTCTATCCCTGATATTGAGCACTTTAACACCTAAATATAGCATACCATAAAAGTATATTTTTGTTGTATATATGCACACACATACACAAACAATTATGCACATCAGTTCTGAAAAGTTTTCAAACCTACCAAGAAGTTCTTCCTTAAAAAATCTTGTTAGGTTGAATTTTGGTAAGTGGTTTAAGCTGAAAAAATTTCAACACAATATATATGGTTCAACTTGTAAAAATTTTGAATGCTGATTTTTAAGACTAACTGTTCTTCCTCCCTTTGGTGTGTTGACACCGATCTTATCACTTCATCTGGCTTGACACTTGACTTAATTTGCTCTTATGAAATTTTATTATAAAAACTATAGGTTAAATGAGATTCAATTTCTCTGGTAAAATTAGGTAAATGTAAAAACAAATTGTAGCAAAAGTTTTGAAAGTGCCTTTCAATCTATATCGTCTTTATGCTTGCTTCTTCCTTCACAGATTATGATTGGCTCTCGGGTGAATATTCAACTTGGACAGAGAGTATCTGGTTGCAAAATGCTATGTCTGTGCGTCTGTTTCTTGTACCCAGCAACAAATTGCAAGTAAGAAAACCTGAAAATTTATTTTTATTTATGTCTTTTTTTTCTTTATTAACTCCCTACTTCCCTCCCTGCAAGGTTCAACCTCCTCTTCTTCCCCTGCTCCCTCCCCTCACCTTTACACATGCATAAATTTTCACAATCACCACTATCTCTCTTTCTCTATCTGATCTTGGTTTCTTGTTAGTGATTAGTGAACTTAATTAGTGGAATGTTTTAATTAGTTTCATTGCTTGGTAATGAAGTAGTCTTTTGTCATTGCATTTTCTTTCTTGTTCAGTCCACAAATATTGAGAAATCTAAATCATTTTCATGTCTTCAAATATCAAATTAATTTATTATCCTATTAATATCTGCTATATAATCTGTTACTATAAAAATTTGTAAAAAAAATTCAGTGTTAATTATAGCTTTTAAAAAATTTAAATCAGATATTACAGGTTTATAAAAAAAGCAGTATTACTTATAGGTTTTCAAAAAATCCAGTATTATGAGTTTCTGTCTATAACCCATTAAAGCCTACTGTCCGATTTTTGGGTCAGTGGGCATTCATCATTGTTTATTCAATTAGCACATTTTGCAACACTCTGGTCACCACTCCTGCTGTTGTAATTGTGGTTCAGTCAAGGCAAAATAGTGCAATAGCTTGTAAGTTCCTTTTGCACCAGGGGTGTTGAGGCTATCTTGTCCCTCCTCTCAAAAGTTCCTCCACCCACTGGTAAAGCCGTTGACCTCTGAGGTGCATCTCCTATGTCCAGGCTGATGACTGATTGTCACCTGGCACAGGAGGTTGGGGATAGGTGCTCTCCTTCACTGGTTGGTTCAGGAAACCCTTCCAACTACCTTCATACAGTTTAGCTGGCAGGTCACTGCCATTGACTGGGCTGTGGACATTACAGTACCATGCAACTTCTTGGAGCATTGTGTGAGAGTTGAATGTAGGCCATGACAAGTATCATTCCACATCCCAATTCACCTGAGTAAAGTAGGGTTGACCACTTTACTGCAAAGCTGCTACCACTGACAATATATCATAATTATCATGTTTTGATCATAATGTTTGACTGGTGAACTGTTAGGTATTTTGTTCTGTGTATTTTATACAAATATATGTTTTCTGGGAGGATAAAATTCAAAGATTAATTCTTCTTTTTTGCACCATGTCCCTTCAGGATGTAGGTGATCATCGCTCATGTTCTCAAGGGATGTGGCACATAAAAGAATTATTTTTTTTAATTTTAATCTTCATAAAAGAAAAAAGCATTTCTGAATAAAAATGAGATGAAAGCATCTTGAATCATCTTAGAGACTTTCAAAATTCTTTGAGTCTTTTTATTTATATATAATTTTTTTTATATATCACAAGTCACTCTTGATTTTTCCAGCTAAACTCTTTCCAGGTGATATCTCTGAATTCATCATTATTGAAAAGACAATGGAAAACACTTATAACAATTCATAGATATTAACGCAAAAGATTATGTGAAGGGCTATGACTATGTAAAACCTGAAAGACCTAGATGTTTCTGTATAGTGATTGGACAGAATATGAGGATATGGCCTCATGCCTTACCCTAGGGCATGAGTGAAAACATGCAGCCACAACTAGATTTTGTCCTTTTTCTGATTTTTTTTTTTTTTTTTTTGTATAGATGACCATCAGGCTACTGTTTACCCTCTCAATAATTAAAGTTTGTGTGTGTGTGTCCTCAAAGATAACACAATAAGTTTTAAAAGTTTATTTTAGTAAAAAAAAAAGAAAAGAAAAAAAAGCTTTTTTGATGTCTGAAAAATATGGTCATTGAAGGAATTCTACAAAGAGCTTAGACATCGAGGCCAATCAAATAAATCAAAGCTAATCTCCACAGGTGCAGGATTGGACCAAAGAAACTAAAGGTGTATGTTGCCAACCAATCGTGTTGACATGTCACTGTCCACCATCAAAAACTCACTGCCCAACTTTAGTTGCAATTCGAGTCATCAACTTTCATTGTCCCCTACTGTTCTATAATTTGCATGTGCAAGCCTGGATTGCACAGCCACATTTGAATCCACTGATGAATTGAAAAACAATCTTCTTTGGACCTGAAAGACAACTATGAAAAAGAAAAATATGTTTATGAAACATAAGTGTTCTAAAACCAAGTTGTGTGGAATGTTCATCTGACATAACACCTTGAGGATCTTCAGACATTCTTGGTTTGCTTCATATTACCTTGTTGACAATAGCTTCCATGACTTAGTTGAATGGAATCCCAGGAGCAAATAACATACAACAGCAGTCATTTCAATAGTTAGAACCAGCTTTAACAAACAAGAGCATGATTTATATGTATTTACAGAGATTAGTTTTCTTGAAAACACAATTGTGGCTCATCTACTGGGAATTGAACTCACTACATGGTAATAATGGTCCTGAGTTTGCCAACCATTATTATTCCCACAGCAAGAGACCTATTGCAAAACATCAGTTACAGAATACATACTATTTTTCTCTGTAAAAATGAACATTGATTAGAAGTCTATGGCAGAATACTGATGAGATGTGTGGTACAAGTAATAAATTTGATGTATAAAAGTTGTTTGGTTGCCACTGGAGAAAGGAATTGGAAAGCCTAAATTGTGTCTGCTTTAATATATTCATGTCTAGTCATTGAAATAGAAGCAACATTAACTGATTGTCTAAATTGAAGTGGTACTCTACTAAAGTAAGGTTTTTATCATTTAATCAAATAACTTCCTGTAAGTGATCTCAGTCATCCTTCATGTTGGAAATCAAAGTCAGAAGTTGAACAGGAACATTTCAGGATATTTCACTTAAGACATTTCTGTTTAAGACATTGGTGTGATATTCTCTTATAACGGCAGCCTTAAAAGTTAACAAAATAAAATTGGAGGTGACAAAACAACAAATTGGAGATAAGACGTGGTCGAGATAAGTGATTATTTTGTGTGATCTACAAGGTTTGATTGTTTGCTCATTCCAGGGTATCATATGTCAATCGTGGCAGTTTTTTTTTGGAGTATAACACAAGTAGTCGAGATAAACACATTGAGAAAATCAGCGCACATATCTAGTCAAGTGAGATAGACTTGTGGGAGAAATATTCCCTGAATTATGACACATTGTAGTAGCTGAGAGATAGCCTCTGCTTCTGCTGCCTTCATTATTGGCCAAAAGCATTACTGTTGATGGAAACACCTTAGCCTGGTGGGCAGCAGGGCTGTGGAATCAGAACACAAAACCTTCAACTCTGACTCCACTATTTTTGGCACCACCAACTCCTCTTTATGGAATTAAGTGATTATGGCCTACAAATCTCATAAAACCTATGGATATGCTCCTAACTTGAGAAGGCCGATATCATTATAACTGACTTATATCAAAGAATAAAGATATTGTGGCTTTTATATCATACCTATTCATTCTTCAATATTTTCTAACAGAATTAGAGACAAAATCTTTGAAAGGATATAGAAGAAATAAAAATGCTATAATGTAAGACTTTTTATATATATATATATATATATATATATATCTTTGCACATAATAAGTACAGAACAAAAATAAAACTACTTTATAACAGAAGTTGAAATATAATCTTTTACAGGATGTAAAAGATATAACAAAAATAAAAATTCTATAATGTAAGAATTTTTTACTTACATAGTTTTGCAAATACAAAATAACTACAAAAAATAAAATGACTTTAAAAAAGTAGTTGCAATGAGTAGGAAATAGTAAATATACAGTAGAAGAAATAACAATAAAAATAAAATCTTGTAATCTAAGACTTTATACATAAAATATAATTTCAGCTGGAGTTAGTATAGTTTTACTGACTGACTCCAGTGACACCATCATTGCTTCCAACTGACTCCACAGCCCTGCTTGAAGATCCATTGTTAATGCCAGCTAGATTGGCTCTGCTCTTGTGGATGAAAATGCTGTTGACTTTAGTGAGTCAGTGGCTCAAAAACAGCTTCTGTGAAAACTGCCAGAACCTTTTTCTGATTGATAGGAAAAGATCTTTTATGACCCAAGTATTTTTGTACAGTATTCTGGAAGTGGGTGTGCAGAGGTGGATGAAATTATGGCCTGTTTTTGTCATATGAGTTGTGGATGTGAAAGTCAGCACTTCCATTTGAGTTAAAGAATCGGAGTTCTGACATTATCTGTCTGTCAGGCTTCTTCATTTTTTTCTGTTTGGTTTGTTTCTATTTTTTTTTTTTTTTTTTTTTTTACCAGACATGATATTGCTTCAATGGAGTTAGCATATGCTGAAGACCCATTTTAATATAAACTGAAGTAATATTTTGAAGAAACTGATCTAATCTTCGAGGGGAGATAACCCAGTTCTTATTCTGTAAATGAGAGTGTGGTCACAGACGGAATATATTTTATTGATTTTTATTTTAGTACCCATTTCAAAAAGACTTCAGTTGAATTATATAAACCTCCAAAATGAAACCACTTTATCAGTGTTCTTTATATTGTTAATATTTAACTAATGAGTATTTAAGAATAACAACATTTCATTTGAATTGCACGTTAAACATTTTTAATCTTTTATTATAAGTTTTTGGTTAGGCTAGGCTTAGGCCTGATGCTGGTAACAGGTAACCCAGTACAACCTGCCACATGGATGGGTGGTTGTCATCTAAACCAACTACCCCACTAGCTTTTTTGCTGGTGAGAAGGGTGACATGTCACTCTATACAGTGAAAAACAAGACTTTTCAAAGGTCAACATACATACACACACACACACACACACACACACACACACACACACACACACACACACATATATAACTTTATGTCAAAAGTACTTTCTTGTGTTATACAATCTTCTGGTACTTATAATAGTACTTGAAGATTGTATTGAACAAGAAACTCCAAGTCGTACTTTCAATGTAAGGTAATATTTAATATATACTTTATAGTTCTGCATTACCACTGCTTTGTTAATACCAAAAATTAAAGATTTATTTGCAAATTTA